ACGCATTTATGTCAAGCTCATGGTGCTGCCTGCATAGTATGCCCTTAGTTGGACAGCCTGCAGGATTGGCAGGCAGCCTGACATGCATTTTTGCCAGGCTGACCTTCCAATTGTTTGGACAAACATGCCCCCTTTTTGGGCATGTTCACCCCTTTTGGCAGGTCTTGTCACGTGATTCGTGCCAGTGGCCCACCCTTTTACCCTGCCCATTGACTTCCTGCTTCACTGGACACTGCTGTTAGGGGGTATGGATTTACTTGAAAGATGAAAGCATAAATTAGAGAGAGATTAGCATAGAGTATGTGTTTTCTTATAGCTGCATCCTATGAGTTTCCCTCCAGCACCATCTCCATCAGATACATGACGCTTGGGAGGTATGATTGTTTTAGTGTTTTTGGTCGATAAGATTCCGTAATTAGGCCCATCATAATTGTCAGCACCAGGCCCACCGTGCTCTTAATCCGGCTCTGCCCCCAAATGCCGGCAACTTGCTGGCTATGTGTTTAAATGATATTCCCTCGGGATGTAACAGTGTGTTACAGCCCGAGGGAATGCAGTGCTGGGTGTGGTCTGTGGCCGGAGGGAGCACTGACAGGCTCCCTGGCACAGGCCCCGCCCCCGAATGAAGCCCCCGCCTCCCACACATAAGCCCCGCCCTTGCCGTTAAGCAGCAGACCTTGCTGCTGCTGGAAAGGCCAGATGATGGCTGTCTGACCCCCAGCACCAGCCTCCAGTAACAGGTAGGCTTGGTGTGTGTGTGTGCGTGTGTCTGCTAGTGAGGAAGCTTGTGTGTATGGACTCAGCAGTCTGTGTTTGTGTGTATGGACTCAGCAGTCTGTGTTGGTGTGTATGGACTCAGCAGTCTGTGTTGGTGTGTATGGACTCAGCAGTCTGTGTGTGTGTGTGTGTGTATGGACTCAGCAGTCTGTGTGTGTGTGTATGGACTCAGCAGTGTGTGTATGGACTCAGCAGTGTGTGTATGGACTCAGCAGTGTGTGTGTGTGTGTATAGATTCAGCAGTGTGTGTGTATGGACCGAGCAGTCTGTGTGTGTGTATGTGTGTGTGTATGGACTCAGCAGTCTGTGTGTGTGTGTGTGTGTGTGTCTGTGTGTGTGTGTATGGACTCAGCAGTCTGTGTGTGTGTGTGTCTGTGTGTATATGGACTCAGCAGTCTGTGTGTGTGTGTCTGTGTGTGTGTTTGTATGGACTCAGCAGTCTGTGTGTACATGTATAAATCAAACTGTGTGCATTCAGGAGTCTGTGTGCATTCAGAAATCTGTGTGTGTGTGTGTATTCAGCAGTCTCTCGGTGTTCGCATTCCGTGTACTGTGTGTATGTACTCAGCAGTCTATCAATAATTAAAATTTGTATTCCTGTGAATTGTTGTGTAGGAAGGGCCCCAGTGCACTGCTTTGCCTGGGGCCCTTAATGCTGTTAAGATGGTGCTGCTTATGTGTGTCAGTGAGCTTCTATTTAGTGAGTATGTGTGTGTCAGTGAGCTTGTCTTTAGTGAGCTTGTGTGTGTCCCTGAACTTCTTTGTAGTGAGCCTTGTGTTTATACAAGTGAGTTTGTCTGTAGTAAGCTTGTGTGTGTGTCAAGAGAGTTTTGTCTGTCAGTGAGCCTATTTGTGCATGTCAGTGAGCTTGTGTGCCTACTGTACAATATGTATGTGTGTGTGTGTGTGTATATGTATATATGTATGTATATATATATGTATATATATATATAGACTTGTAGAAATGGCATACATTTTTTTCCAGGGCTGCTTTGGATTCCCAGTTTGGCTCTGCCAGCGAGTGCGCTTTACCGCTGAATCATCTGTGTGAGCTGCCGCACACTTTAGCCCTGTTACACGCATCTGGGAGCTGCTGTTGACAGGTACTAGTAGTCTAGAGATTGGGACATGGGGTATATGCTCAGCTATCTGTATAATACTATAGTGCTGTTCTCTGTATAATACAGATCTGTGTGTGTATATAATATCCCAGGATAGTCTGTGCTTCCTGTATAGTGCTGCTCTTTGTATAATACAGGTCTGTGTCTGTATAATATCCCGGGACAGTCAGTGTTCCCTATATAGTGCTGCTCTCTGTCTTGGGATATTATACACAAACAGACCTGTATTATACAGAGAGCAGCACTATACAGGGAGCACTGACTGTCCCAATTTATTATACACACAACCCTGTATTATACAGAGAGCACTGACTGTCCAGGGATATTATACACATACAGTAGTTGATAGCTATGCTGCAAAATGTCCTTGGAATTTTTTTTCAAATTTTGGCAACTATGGTACTGGATCAAGGAAAATGTGTTAGTTTTTTAATAATCCCTGGTGGAAAATAATGAATTCTCCACCAGGGATGATTAAAAAACAACAACACATTGTGTCGGGGGCGGGGCTTAACATGCGGCAGGGGCGGGGAAAAACTGCGGCGAGGGCGGGGTTAAATGTGCCCCCCTACTTTTGTCCCTGGCCCACCATGTGCCCCCCCTCAAAAAATGAATCCTAGAGACGCCACTGCTTATATCTTATATAGGATGCCTCTGATTTGTCCGATAATAGGATGCTTCTGATTTGTCCGATTTAAATGCTTTTTTTCTTATTTTTAATCTCTTGTTTTTCTTCTCTACTAAGCCACATTGGTTTCAATTTGTTTTTTTTTAATATTTATTACCCAATGGTACATACTGAGAAATGTACCTTTCTAATATTTGTTTGAAGAGCTTCCATTTATCCTCAGTGTTTTTTTCACTAAGGAGCTTATGCCAGTCGATATGTTTTAGAGCTGCCCTTATCTTATTAAAATTGGCTTTTTAAAAATTATACGTTTTAGTATACCCCACGTGCTTTTGCTTTTTAGAGATTATTAAAAAAATTCTATGTACCTCTTGACATTGTTTCCAACAGACGTCTTATGCTATTTTGTGCATTTTAAATAAGCACACTAGGGTTAGATATCAATGAAAAAGTGTTTTAAATGCCTGTTCTTTCTGGTTCACGCAAATGATTAAGGTAAATGTGGCTTTTCATATATCGGACCAATCCAAGACTTCCTCTTGTGGTCCAAAGAACCTCTTCAAAGCCGATGCATGTTTAGGTATTAGAGATAGATTTCAGAGAACTATGGACGAGTAGATATTTGAAATTTGACCTGATTAGATTTTTGCCTACATACCAGTTAATTTCTAAGTTTCTGAGTGTTGTTCTGTGGGGTAGTGAAAAAAACGTAATATCTTAATAGATCAATAGATGTCGGACACAGTGTATGGCACTTTAGGGAGTTGATTAAATGGAATCAATTGGCCATGGTTGAAGAAATGATGATAACGCCACAATAAAGCATAGCTATACCTATGATATAACTCCGGGTTAATGTTACTCATTATCGGCCCAGTTATAACATGTGAGTACAGGGGAGAAAAAATGTAGTCGTTTTATACCACCCCTTTTCGCTAACCCAATTTATGGATCCATGTTCAAACTAAGATTATCAGAAGCCCCTCACTTCCTTCTTATAGAATGTCCCACATACTGGGCTGAAATTATGTTTTTCTATTCTAAAGGCATGCAAAGCATCCTGAGAATTAAGGTTTTGCAACATCTGGGGATCTGCCTTTTGTGCACCCCTTACACTAGAGTGTTTAACTATTTAGGTGACTGACCCCCCTCCTATCACGTGGGACACATGTCTTTACTCACCCTTTTCCCCACGCATCAACAGTCTTGTCACGGTTGGCCCTGCCTCCATGGCTGAGATCATAGGAAAGGATTGGGAGGCTATTGCTCATGTGCCAATCAACGCATCTCTATGGGGAACGGTCAGTGTCTCCATGCAGGGCATGGAGTCTGAGTGACTGCCGCTAGAGGGACTGCAGGGACAGGCTGTACACACCAGAACAACTACATTAAGCTGTAGAGGTTCTGGTGACTATAGTGTCCCTTTAAGGTAAACATTGTATTTCTAATATAATTTATTTACTCGTTAACATAAATGGAATTCACTTAAAAGGCTGACATATATATATAAATAAGTCTATGGGCTGTGTCCTGTGGCAGCACCAAGCATAAGGATTTAGCAAATGCAACTGTTTTACAAAATTTGTCACTTGTCTTATGTTTGGTTTAGGAGTTTATAAAAAAAAAAAATAATACAAAATAATAGATTTCCCCAGGTATATCGGAGGCGCCTTTTTGTGTGAGGGCCGCTGTGAGCAGTCTCAGGTCTCTCCTTTTTTGGAGGGTCGTTGTGGACAAGTCCTGGTAAAAGGTCAATTTGGTGCCTTGAAATGCTGGTGGTGAGTTTCGGGCTGCTGACATAATTTTTTCTTTAACAGCAAAACAATGCAAACCGACTATATTATCCCTGGGTGTCAATTTGCTTATGAAGGTGAAGCATAGTGCCCTATGAGCACTATCCATAGTGATCTCCCATGCAGAGACCTGCAGCAGCAGAGACAGAATTTTGTTTTTCCCCCTGTGGAAATCAGTAGCTCGACTGTCATTGTTTTGGGTATATGTATAATGTTTTATCTTGATCTGTTGGGCAGCAGTTACACTGGATTCCACTACCAGCACTAAGCTCTTGTAAGCTTATGAGGCACTCGAGAGACGGAGCAGACCAACTCTGAAGAGTGCCTTTCTAACAATGCATAGAGTTGTTTTTGCTGAACCAATAATGAAAAACATATTGAAAAATATCAGAATGGCGTGGCTGTGGCTTTGCAGACATAACGGACAGCTTATCAGCAGCAATTAACAAATTGAAAATTGTCAAATCTCTTATGGTAGAGCTATTTTTTGTTCAGTTCTTTATTATGCTTTCATTTGATTTAATTTGCACACTGTACGAATTCCAGTTATCATGTCTTTTCCCACTTTGATTTAACAATAAACAATTAATTATAAAGCAGAAAAAAAAGACAACGCACAAAATTCAATAGCCATATTTGATAAAACAGCATTATGATTTAAATTTATTAGACATGACAATACATCAAACAAAATTACAATCTATTCATCTGTAAAACAATTTAAAATAAAAATCTATGTATTTTTTGAAGCAGCATTTCAAATTACAATTCACTGTTCGCATAAGTACAATACTATTCACAATGTAATGAATTACAAGTCCAAAGGATAACACAAACATTCAGATAAATTAACAAAAAGCAAGGTGTCCAGTTTTGGGGAAAGGAAACAAAACAAACAAACAAAAAAAATACTCAAGCGATAATACAGATTTAAACGCCACGAAAGGAGAATTAAACAGCATTAAGTGCCAGATTTAAGTGGAATGTATTCGTCCCATGATTGCAAACATTTAGAGATATCTCCCACTGATATCGGTGTGATCCCATTAAATACAGAATTCAAACAATGCTGACATGACATTTTTTTTTAAATGAAAACATGATGTGCGTTAAACATCCCACCTATATGTATTAAAACTGGCTTCATTTCCCAAATATAAACTTGGTATATTTCCCTGCCATTAGTGACTGATACAAGCACTTACTATTTTGACAGAATTAAATTAATACAATTAGGTTAATGGGAGCAGCATGGTTAGTAATAATTGCTGACAAAAAAAATAATAACAACAACAACAAAATCTCTGGTTAATTCTGTTCGTAAAACATTTATAATACAAAGAGGCAATAGCTAATTTGATCCATTGCTCAGTTAATGAGTTCTGAGCAAAATTTCACATTAGACTTATCAAGTCACAGGAGACAAAGAATTCAGGATGGAACCCATGCTGGGATTTTTGTATGTCAATGTAATGTAAAGTATATAATATATATATCTCACAATACAATACCCTGAATTTAAAAATGTACTTTATATATGCATAAACACTAAATGGGTATATTGGATTTGAGGTATACATATTCTCTTAAACCAATTCACTTGGATTTCAATTAGGATTTTCAGATAGCGATGTCTAAAGACAGACAAAACAGTGTACTCAAAATGTGTCACCGTAGGTCTGTTTCTGGGATTGAAATGTCCCCAAACACAGACTACAGTTAATCTTGTACTTGATTGTTAATCAAGTATGGTTCATCAGAGTCGTAGCTTCTAGTTCGTATTTACTGGTAAATTTGGTCCTAATTGTATCTAGCAATAGTTACTAAACAACATTTAGTAGCCTGAAGAATGTATTTTGCAAACACACAAAATTCCTATAAAACAGAAGATCCATTAATTTCATTTTTATTTAGATTGGTGGGTTAATCTTTAAATTATGAGTTTAAGATCAGACCACGGTTCAATTAATTATTTTTCAGCCGGAAATAACCTATTGCATTTTGAGTTTTATTTAGTTTTAGATCTTACACCTTCACAAGAAGGAAGTTCCAAGAACTTCCAACTCTTTGATCCTTCATATATCTTTTCATTTTGGTTTCCTACACCAGGGTATGTTTTGGTAAATCAGAAAAAATATATATACCATGCAGCAAGGAGTATTCAATTTCTCTCGGATTTTCAACCTCACTAAATACCTACAATTTCTCATTTATTCTTCTCAAAACAGGAATCGTTACAAATGACAAGAGTTTCTAAGAAAAATCCATGGTTTAAGGCTGTATGTCCCTCCAACTGTTGGCTGGGGTCTGTTAAGATCTAAGCAGTCCACAGCAAACAAAATCTATAAATACATCTTTTTACAATTTATAATTTGTGTACATTAGGTTGGAGGAGATAGCTAGGCTGCATCCTTTGTACTTTTGTGTTGCAGACCTGAGCTATAGAGTGTGAAATCAGCAGGTGAATTCGGGATGCCTATAAAAATGCATATACACTTACATTGGACCTTAACTGGGAGGAGAACAGAACCCTGAAGATCCTACCAGAAGATCAGGACAGGACCCAGAAGATCCTGCCAGAAGATCAGGACAGGACCCTGAAGATCCTACCAGAAGATCAGGACCCAGAAGATCCTACCAGAAGATCAGGACAGGACCCAGAAGATCCTGCCAGAAGATCAGGACAGGACCCAGAAGATCCTGCCAGAAGATCAGGACAGGACCCTGAAGATCCTACCAGAAGATCAGGACAGGACCCTGAAGATCCTACCAGAAGATCAGGACGGGACCCTGAAGATCCTACCAGAAGTTCAGGACAGGACCCTGAAGATCCTACCAGAAGATCAGGACAGGACCCAGAAGATCCTACCAGAAGATCAGGACAGGACCCAGAAGATCCTGCCAGAAGATCAGGACAGGACCCAGAAGATCCTGCCAGAAGATCAGGACAGGACCCAGAATATCCTGCCAGAGGATCAGTACAGGACCCAGAAGATCCTGCCTGCTAAAAGTTCCAACCCCTTTGCTATAATAAACGTAACATGAGGTGAGTGTTTCGTAAAGAAATGGGGATGATGGGATGTGGGTTGAATGAAAGAGGAGCTTGGCTAAAATGGGGACAGGAGTAAGACATGTTCTGAGCGTGTGAGACTGGAGTTTGCATATTTAAGAGTGGAGTATTAAGTGATGAGTATAAGGCTTTTCTCTTTCAGTGTTGGGTTTGGAGTTTGGGAGAGGGGTCATTGCTAATGTTGGGGTAACTAAGAGAGGTGATGTCGCATTATTTGTATTACCATATGTGTGTTTGTGTCTTTGTGTATCCCTCACGATGTTTCTATCCTTATCTTTCAATGCATCTACAAATCTTATACTCTCAAAAAAAAGAGGAATAGGAAGAACGATTGCTCAGTTTGGACACACCTGTATGTGTCAAAGTTCCAAATATCAGATCCTCACAAAAAAAATAAAAAAGAAAAAAAAAATACTGTGAGATCTGTAAAATGCAGTTAGATCACCAGGATCCATTGCCCTATTGCACAGAAACAACAGTACTGCCATTTACCAAAATAGCACAAGCTCTTGGCTTGTGACATACAAGGCATTTTACCTTAACTTAATAGTTGAACTTCCAGTTTAAGGCCATTTTGGGTATTACATTTTTGAGAATATGTTAAAACATCAAATTATAAAGGGACATCAAAGCAAAATTGAATGCAAAATAAATCATTTGCACACCATTTGGTTATGCTTGGAATATAAGGCACAGAATAGTTTTTGATCTGAAATCTCATATTCCATAAAATCCAGTATAAAAGGCTTGGGCTCATACAAAGCAGCGATTTCAAGGAAGAGTTTAGGTTCAGCTTAATGGTTTGATGTGCTAACCATGTAATGATACATAGATGGTGGGTGTCATATTGGCCCTCCAGAATGGACTAAAAACAATGTAAGGTGCATTAATATTTACAATCCTGCTTCAAATCATGGGGAAATCGTTAGAATATTAGACATAAGGAATGTTTTAAGAACTAGCAAGTCTATGACTAAGGTTAATTGGAATGTTCAAGCAATATAGATAATGCAAACCATTGGTTAGATAACGAGACAACGCCATTTCAAAATTGTAATATTTCTCATTGTGAAATTATTAAGAAAATAAAAATTCAGCCATTGCACAAAGCACAAGTAAGCCAAGAGCCAGCCTTGGCTGTTAAAGACATATAGGTATTTTGTTTGGACAGCCAGTGTCATGTGATTGTACACTGTCTCAACAAAGAAGAGACCGAATCTTCAAATGTAAACAGCTAGTACATGATCTCCCAAGTTATTATTCAGTGGATAGAATGGACACAGTACTGACAGACCAATCTGGTCTTATAGTGCAATCCAAACCCCTTGTGCTACCAATGAGTAATATGCTAAATAAAATAAAAATAAAAAAATCAGTATGGTTCAGAACATACTATAGGCATGAACTTCTCATACACATTGTTTACAAGCTAAAACAGGATCCCCATATATTATAATAATGGATTTATCCATAGCATCTATGACAAATTGTGTTTAAAACAAAATGGGACCGATGGCCTGAATGGAGATGTATATTTAAAGTGGCACTGTCACCCCCACCAAAATGTGTATTCCACATAAATAGAATCTTTATGAAATACTCATATTGATGTGCTGGAATTTCACTGAATCATCAACCCATTCAAAAGACATACGGAGACAAAGTAGGGACTACTTTATCACAGTATTTTTTTCTATGACTGTCAAAGATTGATACAAGGCACAGATACCACTGTCAGACTTGTCATTTTCCCAAGAAAATTAATTATCTTCTTGGAGGATCCCACAGTCTCGCACGATCCTCCACAGACCTTCACGCTGTACTCTCATGCATGTGCAAGATTACAGCACTGTTTAGTGGAGCAAGTAGAGGATGGCAATGCCAGTGAGGGACAGGTTCAGGTAAGTAAATCTCACCTTTCCCCGGCCCACCCATGCGCAGCCAAGTGACAATGTCCCCATAGGGGGTCTTTGCAAAATATGGAAAGACCCAAGCTGTGACAGTCGCTTTAAAAGGAAAATTAGGCTACAAAAATGACTACTGCTGCCAAATAATGGATAAAAATTGACTGCTAAGTAATGGAATAGATAGTTATTACTGCTAACTAATGGATACGATAGTTACTACTGCTAACTAATGGATACAATTATACAACTCCAAATTTAGGTGAATTAGAAAGTTACTGCTTCAACTATTAATACACAATGCTTCTACATAGATGATGAGCACTAAACCCTTAAAACGCAATGTTGGGCATATGTGCCTGATGCTTGATAAAAAAAAAAAAAACCCTGAGGGGTGGAAAATTTCCCAGCCTAACCCATTTATGAATTAGTAAAAATTCTAATTTACCGAAAGTCTGGAGTTGCAGGTGCTCTAACTCTATGTTTTTCATACTAGGATCATCATATGGGAGGGCTGTATTCATATATTCTACTTTCTCTTGCTGTCTAGTTTAGATTACCTTCAATGGCAAACTAAGCAACTGCAGAGGGGTGCTCTTAGCCTTCTACTTTGCTAAATGAAATGGATTTTAAATTAGCAGGTGGAGATCAGGGGCATCAATTTACGGTTCACTTAGAGCATCAAGATGTTCTGAGCTGGCACATGTGTGAGGCCTATTACAAAATCACAACCAGCACACGTATTATCATAATATCAGTAACAATTCAGAAGATGACATTTATATACATCCCAAAAATGAGTACATGACAGACTCTTCACTAGTTGACAGTATTAAAGGAAAACTGTCTTTCTTATCATTTAAAGCAGATCTGTCACGCTATGCTTAACTTACTTCAATACATTCTTCTTCACTCCTAACTCATAATCTGTTCTTCTATTTCAAACATAAGGCTAGCTAGAAACTACTTTGCCTTGTGTATTTTTCCTGCAATTCAAAAAAAAAAAAAAAGCAGAGCTCTTTTTGTAAGCTTTTGTCACTTCTCCCAGTCATTGCTAGAAACGAGACATCTATGCAGGCTCCTGTGGTCTTACAGATTCTTACATATAACTCAGTGCTGTACTCTCGTGCATGTGCAAAAGTACGCACTGATGTGGACTTCTGGACGATGAAGCATGAGGAGATGAAGAGGATCCAATAGAAGGTGGTGGCCGCAAGAGAGAGCTTCAGGTATGTAAAATCCACCTTCCCCTGCAACCCTTGGCCACCAAGCATTGAAGTTGCCATCAGGGATTTTTGCAAATCATGCAAAGACGTCAGATGGTGGTTTCCATATATTATAGTGCGAGTAGGATGTTTCACATTTTGTTCTCGGAGGGTGCCCTTTTTTCCTGGGCTCCTGGAACTCTGTGTGCTTTAATATGTAAATAGCACATCTGATTTCCACCTTATATATAACTCGTGGATTAAGATATATATTTCTATCTTTACAGCGCCTCTTCACCAAAAAAATTAAATTATGAGCATTTCATAAAAATATAATTTCTTTCAAAGTCCAACACAGTCAAAATATATCAAAGACATATAGACAAAGCAAGGACAAGTTTGTTTGATGGTAAACCCTTATGTCGATTAAACTTGACAAAAAGGTGGAGCTACTGCTTCAGATTTTGTCACTTCCTACAGCCGTCGATCGCTACAATGTCTGGAGGAATAAGACATTGTCTTACTAATCATGAGACAATATCTGTAGAGGTTCCTGCGGTCTTGCAGTATCCTCTATAAACATCAGTGTTGTACTTTCACGCATGTGTACGGTACTCATAGGGGACAGCATCAGGTAATGCACCCCAGGCAGCAATGTCACCATCCTTGGTCTTTGCATAGGTGACAAAGTCGCTTTAAGTGCATCTACTTGCAAGAAACACTTTAGACTTTATTTCTTTTTGTGCTTTGTCCCTAATTTGGAGAATTAGTATTTTAAAGGGACACTTTAGTCACCCAGACCAATTCAGCTCAATGAAGTGGTCTGGGTGCCAGGTCCCTCAGGTTTTAACCCTTCAGATGCAAACATTTGGGGTTAAGCCAGCCTCTAGTGGCTGTCTTCCGGACATCCACTAGAGGTGCATTTGCGACGCTGGAGGCACATTTCGCCTCCATTGCGCAGAGCGCCCATAGGAAAAAATTGAGAAATGCTTTCCTATGTACACTTTGAATGCGCATGCGCATTCGGCTCCACTGACATCGGACGGGGGAGATGATGTCAGCGGGGGAGGAGAGGTCACCGGCACCAAGGGAGCCTGGCGCTGGATTAAGGTAAGCTGCTGAAGGGGTTTTAACCCCTTCAGCGCCAAGGGAGGTGGACCCTGAGGGTGGGGGCACCCTCAGGGCACTATAGTGTCAGGAAAGCCGCTTTGTTTTCCTGACACTATAGTGATCCTTTAAACTATTGAGAATAAATGCAAGGTTTAAATAGATTCCACATAACATTTGTTTTTAGAATGTCCTGTAAAGAGCTTGTACTATCACTGCTTGTTACATTTACTTTGCGTATATTATTTCGTAACACATACATACAAGATGGCTGCCCCCTTGTAGCAAGCATGGCAGGATATTAACTAAAATGAGTGGTTATCCTCTAAGTATTCATTACAAACTAATACACAAAATATATATATGACATATAATAACTTATTTTAAATAATAAAAAACCGTGACAGTTATTCTTTAAGTTCCATGCATCTTTTGGCTGTCATTTTCCTTTAAAGGACCACTATAGTCACCCAGACCACTTCAGCTCAATGAAGTGGTCTGGGTGCCAGGTCCCCAGGTCTTACCCCTGCAGCTGCTATGTTTACATTGCAGGGTTAATCTTCCTGACAGCCGCTAGAGGCGTTTTTAATGCGCGCATGCGCATTTGGCTCCACTTGGGAGCTAACGTCGGAGGGGGAGGAGAGGTCACCAGCGCCAGATAAAGGTAAGTGGCTGAAGGGGTTTTAACCCCTTCAGCCCAGCGGGATGGGTGTCCTGATGGTGTGGGGTACCGAAGGATTATATAGTGCCAGGAAAACAAGTTTGTTTTCCTGACACTATAGTGATCCTTTAAGCTTCTGGTGAAAGTGCCGGCTGAGTAAGGAAGTTAAAATCTGCTGCCAGTAAATGAAATTAATGGAGAAATAATATAGAATTAGATGAGATCTTGATAACAAAACATGGTTTATCCTGGGACGTCTCTTGATAAAAATGCACAGTTTGTCTGAAATCTACAATAACTATTTAAACAAACTATGTGATCCTGTTCGCTCCATAACTAGACACATTAAATGCACGTTTCTCTTTGTTATATGGGATCAAGCAAATCTCACAGTCATAAACACATCCATATTTCACAAAAGACTGGAATACATTGCTGTGAATATTTCTTGCAAAGCATTCTGGTCTTTCTATTTTACTAGAAATAGGAGGAGGATAGTTTGGATTAGGCCATTCTCACACTGTGCTTGTAGTGAGATGCAATTATGTTGCAGCAATTTAACCAATTAATGTTAGATGTTAGACAATTAACGATAAATTACAGGAACACTTCACACACAAAGTATTTCCGTTTGCTGAAATACTTAGTGCGTCTGGAGCCTGTTACACTTCTGACCGTTTATAAAAGTGCCAATTTCAACAGAAATCAAAAAAATAAAATGCAGAAATAAATGCATGCATGTTTTCATTGGGGGTATATCTACTAGATTGTGACTTCTTTGGGGGGGTAGGGGCATGGAATGTTCCTTACATAACAAGGTGTGAGCATTAAGTACCAGAGGGCACACAATGCTGCCACTTTCATGGTGTAGAATGTGCAGATTCAAGGGGTAGACGAGAAAGCGAGAAAGATGGCAATGCAGTCGATGTTATTTTTACTCTGTAGGCGTTTTTTAGCTTAGCAAGGTTTCAAAAAAATCAGTCACTGAAAAGTTGTTCAAGTCACAGTGCTTGTAAATTCACAAACAAAGATATTTAAAAAAAAAAGTCTAAAAAAAATAAAGTGGAGTAATGTTAAAATAATCAAAATCTTAAAATAGAAAATTAAAAACCAAATAAAAAAAGTAAAATCGAAATATGTTTAGAGATACGCAGCTCCAATTTTAACATCTCATTCAGACAGGTATATTCACTAAACTGTGACTTGTTGTGAACTGAAAGTGTATTTAAATTTTTTTTCCAATTTGGAAAATGTATCCACGTGACTATTTTTGCCTAAAATTTGAAATTCGCTTTCACACTTTACGGTTTATGGGTGCTGTTTTTGATGCTTATAGACGCTAGTGAATAATGCTAGTGAAGATCCTTAATGCATGAGCTCTATGGAGGTTAAAATCGATATTAGCTGAGCAGCGAATTCTCTAAAAGAAACTAGTAATTTAAAAAAAGCTCTGCTATTTTAGCCAAAAGTTTGTTAAAAGGTCCGAAACACATTGTTTATAGTCCTCAAATATGTAAGAAAAACAGTCTGCCTCATTTACTGCCCCGTCTGTATAAAAAAAACAACAACAAAAAAAAATTATATAAAAGCACCAATGGTACCCAGATTATGCAGATTTTATGGAATGGATTATACCAGAGCAACCTATTCTAGTTTGTCCCAGTGGCAGAGGAATCTATTTTAACAACATGATAAAGGGTATCACATTGAGAGCTGAAACCGATAATTTGCCAAGATGTAATATTTAACCCCTTACAGATCAATGACAGATCATACCGTCATCATTCTGATTTCATTTCAGCTATTTTAGAGTAACATTTGTAAGTCACTTTGAATTCCCAGCAATTCACCATTTAGTAAATATCCCAGCCAGAACAAACAAGGAACATCCCACATTTTCATTACTTGCAACTCTACATACAAAACCGGGTGGGATATTCCATTTTCGTGTCAGACTTTTAAAGACCAGATAGTTATGATAGAATAATGTAGTCAGTGGTCCTTCAGGGGTAATAATCAGCATTAAGTATGGTGCATGCTCTGCATTTGACAAATTACTGCATACATCATTGGTGTGCCCCTACCCATCTGAAGTGTGTATATTACATAAGCAAACATAAAATGTCAATATACTCATAAGACAAACTTAATAAGTATGTGCTGCAGTCTCTCACAGATTAGAAACACTTTCCAGAGGTTGTCTTTTTTTGCCACATTTCCTTAGCCTCTGTAACAAATCATGTGCCACAAATAAAGTGTTAAAATTGGCTCAGCTCTCTAAATGATTAACTTTGTAGAGTTGCTGCCCCCTTTCGAGAAGTACTCTCCTCCTTCCACCAGAAGATAAAAGAAGATTGCCCAATTGCTGTAAGGTTCCGCAGCACATCAGTATAGTTGTGGACCATACCATTGTACATAAAAAAGGAGGGCATGTCCTGCTTTAAAATCCACCCTTATGGATAAGCAAGGGCAGAAATAAAACTGGCAAGAATGGCCAAGATTAAGATACTGCTAAGACCTCTCAAAAGAACCAAACATGTAGTAGTTTTGGTTTGGAGGTCAATGCTGTGATGTTAATCACGAGGAGAGTGTAAAAATCCCAGGAGATATTCTCCAATTCCAATAAAGTAGACCACCTGAGCAATCCCGAAAAGTGGAGCAATGACAAGCGCTCTGCAGTATGCACCCTTCAGGAAGGCAGCAGGTCCCTCACTCCTCCATATCTTCCTGCAGAGAATAAACAGAGGTTATACTGTTATATATTGTCAACATCATTGTCAAATACTCGTTATATAGTAACAGGCTGAGCTCATTAAAGGTCATCATCCCTAATCAGTATAATACATTATGCAGGTTATGTGTTTAAAGTCAATAGTCATACCCTTTACAACAAAAAAGGACAACGCACCACACACCTGCCAACCTATGTAAAATGCATACAGGTTTATTCACTAAAATCCAGAGACAGTACAGTTTAGCAAAAATCATTTACAGTGACTATCTTAAAAACAAAACCGAAACACACTTTTAATGAAGCAATTTTGGTGTATAGATCATGCCCCTGCCCAATGTTTTGCAATTTAGGAATTAAATCACTTTATTTATGCAGCCCTGGTTACACCTCCCGGCATGTGACATACACAGCCTTCCTAAACACTTAATGTAAAGAGAGATTTAATGTTTAACTGTTAATTTAAAATGTATTATCTCCTGCTTTGTTAATAATACGATAGACCCTGCAGGAGAACTCCTGTGTGTGATTAAAGTTAAATTTGCAGAGCAGGAGATATAAATATGTAAAGTAAGTTAACATCTGATTGAACATGAAACCATTTTTTTCATGCAAGCTGTGTAAATAACAGCCAGGGGAGGTGTTGCTAGGGTTGTATAAGCAAAAACAAGAGCGATTTAACTCCTAAATGGCTGAATTGAGCAGTAAAACTGCAGGGGCATGTTCTACCCACTAAAACGTAATTAAAACAATGTTGTTTTGATGCCAATACTATCCCTTTAATCAAATTTGCAATTCTAATTATTTACTAAAGGCAAAGCGGAAATCTGATATGCAGCCTTTTCAACCGAATGAGCACAGCTCAATGGATACCATCCAGTGTCTGTGTTAAATTTTGTAATTCTCACATGCAAAGCCTATTGAAAGTATAGGATCTGTATACTTATCCAATGTCGAATTTCAACTACATACATTTTGAGCAAATCCAGTAGAAATCCAGTAGAATGTGAAAATAAGGTCACATCCTTTTTATAAGCAAATCTGCAGAAATCCATTTTATTTGTCAACTCATATAAAAATAAATATAATTGGCAGAAGTCGCCATTTCGGTTAAGTCTGAGTATTCAGATGCATAAACATTCAATTTGGATTTCAGCCATTCAACTTCATACAGACAGGCTAATATCTGGACTAGACCTTTGTTAAATTTGGACTCGTTGAAAAAGCCAGACACCAAAAAATACTGTGATCAATGTCCAGTATGGCACTAGATGGTACCAGATTAATTTATTTTTATTTTTATAATCCATAGTGGTTGTAATAGGTTTTTAGTGAACAAATCGGATAATATTTGTGTGGTGAAATCAAATGCAAAGGATTCAAGTCCATGACAACACCTTGCCACCATAGACGTGCAGAGAGTTAATAAATCAGTACCAGTAGCAGTACTTACCTGGTGCAGTCTATAATCCCTGAGTACGTATCTTCATTAACCCCTCGTTGTAATGATTGCAGCCTTGTTTTAATTACTAAAGGAAAAAAATACAATCTTTTTAACATTGCACATACGTGAATATTAATTCAAGTCTGACTATTTAAGAATTCCACCCTCATTTTAATAGATATACATACATTTAAAGGGACACTATAGTCACTGAAACAACTTTAGCTTAATGAAGTAGTTTTTGTGTATAGATTAGGCATAGGCAACCTTCGGCACTGCAGATGTTTTGGACTACACCTCCCATGATGCTTTGCCAGCATTATGCGTGTAAGAGCATTATGGCAGTTGTAGTCCATAACATCTGGAGTGCCGAAGGTGGCCTATCCCTGGTATAGATCATGCCTCTGGAGTTTTACTGCTCTATTCACTGCATTTAAGCGTGAAATCACTTTTGTTTCTGTCCATGCATCCCTAGCCACACCTCCCCTGGCTGTGACTGAAATGGTTTAATTTCCAATCAGATGTAACTTACTTACATTTTTTTTTTTTATCTCCTGCTCTGTAAATTTAACTTTTATTGCATTGCTTCTGCAATGTCTAGCAAGCTATTAACATAGCAAGAGATAAGACATTCTAAATTAAACAGAATTTGCAAGGAAGTATAAACATTAGATGACTCTTTACAGGAAGTGTTTATTAAGGTTGCTTAAGTCACATGCAAGGAGATGTGCCTAGGGCTGCATAGAAAAGGTGATTGAACTCCTAAATGGTGACTATAGTGGCCATTTAAACTTTGGTAAACAGGTAATTGGGCTCACATATACCACAGCAATAAACATTCTTAAACTCAGTGGGTTTATTCCAAATCGGAGTCAAAATAGCCAAATTAAGGAAAGAAAATCCTTCATCTCTGTCAATTAGTGATTAAATCTCTAAATTCGAAATTAACATGTTTTGTATCTCCTACTCTGAAAGCTTCAGGGTTTTTCATCAAAGAGTAAATTGTCAGAAATTCAAAGTGAATTTTAAATTTAGTCCAGAATAGTCAAACATAGCTCACTTGGAGAATTTTTCCGAATTGGTTACTTTGGCCTAACATTTGAAATTTACTCTGAATTCCCAAAAATGCATACTTTGGTGAATGAATAACACTGTTTGGAGAACCCTGCTTGGACCTACTGCTAAAAAGTAGTGTTTGCTTAAATTCTACACATTTCATTTTATTTTTTTTACACTTAATATTTTTTAAATTTACTTAGACCCTGCATCGGTGGACTGTGGGTGGACACTAGCTCCCACCCATTTAATAATAAATAGCCCCACCTGCTGGCCATGGCTGGTCAGCAGGGGGTGGGCAGTGATCTGTCCACCCCTGATTACTTAATTATGGTCAAGTCCCCCACCCAATCCCCATGGGTATTGGCCCCTTTGTCTTTTTTTTTTTTAAATTTTAGACCACCCACCATTTTGTACATTGGGGGCACTGGTGGGGGTGTATGTTAATAGTGACTGGGCAGACATTTTTTGCAAACTTCTGCCAGCTGTTACATGGTTAACCCTCGCCTAACAAGAGGCAAGTGTTATTAACCATTTGCTTACTAGCTGCTAATGCAGCCAGCAGGCCACAGAGTTTAATGGTCGACTGAAATTTATTTCTATTTAAATATCGTTTTATTAAAGAGTTTGCGAGGTGAACAATTCGCAGTGAGGTTATGAGCAGTGCGAAACACGCAGGTTTCAATCAGTTAGAATCTCGTTTGAGGTCTTGAGATGCGCAGATCTCTGAGGATGCAAAAGTGATTGAGACTCGCAGGTCTCCTGACACAATAAATCTCTATTTACGATATTCACTTAACATGTTGTAGATTGATTAATTACAGTCTGTCAGGTGCGTTAGCTATGGTCCTGTGGTTTGAGATCGCTCACTCTGCGTTATGATATTATTTGTTGTTTTAGGTCTTGTCGTTCGCTTGTCCTTGCAGGTTGTAATCATCTCTCAGTCTTTAATGTCGTTCGTCTGTAATGTGTCTAGAGTGTGGATGATGGGATGGGTGGGGGGTGGTCGGTGAGCATGTTGTGTCTTTCAGTCACCTTCTTCCCGCCTGTATCTTCTATGGCCCCGTCTCACAGTGCCTATTGGCGTGAGTGTGGGGTTGTGGGGGGGTGTCCTTGCGTCTTAGTGTAGTCCTGTTTAGGGTTTGATCCCTAGTGTCAGTGTGGTCGACTGAAATTTAATGATCATCGAACATTTTCGACAAATATCAGCAGAAAGAATAGACATGGGGCTTTGCTTTTTGACCAAACAAGCTTAAAGGATCACTATAGGGTCAGGAACACAAACATGTATTCCTGACCCTATAGTGTTAACACCACCATCTAGCCCCCCTGGGCCCCTCGTGCCTCCATAAATATAGTAAAATCTTACTGTATTCAAGCCTGAAGCTGTAACTCTGCATGCTGTTAGACTCAGAAAAACAAGCAGTCTGCTGACATCATCAGAAGTGGTAGCCTGATCCAATCACAATGCTTCTCCATAGGATTGGCTGAGACTGACAAGGAGGCAGATCAGGGGCAGAGCCAGCATGGTTCAAACAGAGCCCTGGCCAATCAGCATCTCCTCATAGATGATTAATTGAATCAATGAATCTCTATGAGGAAAGTTCAGTGTCTGCATGCAGAGGGAGGAGACACTAAATGTTTGGATGCATTTTTAGGCAGCCATGACCCAGGAAGGATCTCTAACAGCCATCTGAGGAGTGGCCAGTGAAGTTATCACTAGGCTGTAATGTAAACACTGCATTTTCTCTGAAAAGACAGTGTTTACAGCAAAAAGCCTGAAGGTAATTATTCTACTCACCAGAACAAATCCAATAAGCTGTAGTTGTTCTGGTGACTATAGTGTCCATTTAAGACCATAAGGGCACCTTCTCTGCTATCTGAACTCTTCTTGATTTCCTTCTCTCTTGGTTCCCTTGCAATTCAGTTTCTTTGTATTTCACAGAATACTGTTTGCTTTACATGTTATCCGTAGCAGCTCTTCCAGGTATAGGAAATGGAAAAAGTATTGAAATGCTAAATGTTCTTGTCATCTGTTCTTTCTAGTAGACACTGGCAATTAAGTGGCAAAAGTGAGACATGACAAGTCATTGTTCGAAAGGATGAGTCCTGGGACAGTAGGTGAAACTTGATAAATACGATTTGGATGGTTGATCACTGAAATCTAAATTTGCAGCAGTGAATTCATCCAACCACAAGCAAGTGGCCCTAGAGTTTAACATTGTTGCATGAAAATGTGTGTAGGGGATGTATAATATTCTCCAAATATGCTCTGCTCTCTCAATCTGAACTTTATGACATGTGACCAGGGACTGTCTACTCCAATATGGATGTAATCCTTAGCTATCTCCATTATTAAACCAAACATTCAAGGGACACTATAGGCACCCAGACCACTTTAGCTTATTCAAGTGGTCTGGGTTCAGTGTCCATTTTGCACTTAGTGCTGCAATGTAAATCATTGAAGTTCCAAAAAAGTACCAGACAGCCACTGGGGCGCTTCCTGGGTCGAAACGGACTAACACTGTACCTCCTTACACTCTGCATGCTTTCCTACGGGGAGTTCTAATAATCTGCAGGACATCGGAGAGAGCGGGGTGTCGACCCAGCACAGAGGGTTATAGGCACTGGTATAAGGTAAGTAAATAAAGGGTTTTTAACCCTTTATACCCCAGGGAGGGAGTGAAGCAGGGGGAGCAACAGTGCCAGGAATACAGCTTTATATTCCTGGCACTATAGTATCCATTTAATGTAACTAGAAAAATGGAGCTCTTAGAAGCACAGGATTCAGGATAAACATTCTGCAGTATATTTGGATTCACTTATAGCAACAATGTAACTGATACAGATTAAATTCCTTCTTTCCCCTTAATTTTTGTTTGTATTTGGAATTATCCAAATATCCGTCCTTTTAATGAAAGATCAATCATATCATTACAATTATGTTAAGGCATACTTCATGACACAGAGCAAGAGATGTGAACTTAAAGGGGAAAGCGGGTACATGTGGGGTGGCCTGGGAGTGATGTAAGGAAAAAAAAAGTGTGAATGCATGCTAGGGTAACATGCAGCATCTCTTGCGAGCCTCTCTCAGGGTTGCACATGCACAGAGCATTACTGAAGCATTCTGCATGGGTGCTTAACACCCTGACATCACAAGCATCTTTTGATGCACACAGTCTGCACCTGATGACTCACTTCTGGGTAACACACATAGCAAAAGACAGAAGCCAAATTAAAGATTATCCTGCTAAATCTGGTACTGTTGTGGAGGAAAATGTAATAGATACCATATGTTACCAATCCATCCATTAATTTAAAAGTTGTGATCGTGAATGTGTTACATGTCTAAAAGGTATTTAGATGGTTCCTGAATTTTAAGTCATTCTACAAATCCAAAATTATTAAAATACCCCCTCACTCAAGTGCCTTGGTGTGACCACTTAGCTAAAGTCTCAACACATGATTTACATTTATGGCAGCACATGGTTATAATTAACAGAGCTGTAATGAATTAAAATCGAAATTTCATAATTTGGGCAAAAATAGCTCCATTGGAAAAATTCCCCACATTAGCAATGGCCACAACTATTTTAGCAATTTAGTTTTCAATTCACTAAAAAGTCTGTGCTTAGTGTAAAAATATCACTTTGAGGCTAAATTAGCTATAAAATGTACAGCTTTCCTGCAACTTAGATGGCACTATTGCGTAATTTAAAATAAACTAATATTTAAAGGACGCAAAATAGAATCCATATTTCATTAATGGTAAATGTAATTAAAGATAATCTTTTATACTCTAATGCCAGTAAAAGTTATTTAAAGCAAAAAAATCTCAAGCACTCACTGTAATAACTTTAAGCAGATTTAATGGACATAGCAATGTTTCGACCTGTTCCCAGATCTATACCAGAGGCAGCTCTCTAATTAGGCGGTTTAGGCGGCCGTCTAAACTGCCTTATGGCAGACTGTGTCAGGTCCTCAGTCAGTGACCAAGGACCTGACACCAGGAGGGGGCCCAGTGGCTTGCCCGGTATGCCGCCGGGTGCAAGGCCCCTCCTGGCTGCCTGGCCAGAGAGCGCCTGTAGCCCCTGGTCTGCAGCTCCGTGCAGTGTGTCTTACGAGATCTGGCCAATCAGAGCGTTGCCGCGGGTTACCACGGCAACGCTCTGACCGGGTCTCGCAAGACACTTGGTCTGCATCTCTGCACACTGCGCGAAAAACTGCAGACCAGACGGTGCCACTGGACCACCAGGGACTTAAAGTATTTAGTCCCCCCCTCCGAATATACCCCCTACCAATATACCCCCTCCCTCCAAGTATACCCCTTACCAATATACCCACGCCCTCGCAATATATCCTTTCCCTCCCAATATACCCCCTCCCTCCCAATATATCCCTTCCCAGTATACCCCCTCCCTCCCAATATATCCCTTCCTAAATACCCCCTCCTTCACAGAATCCCCGTCCCTCAGTATCCCCCGTCCCTCACAGTATCCCCCTCCCTGCAGTATCCCCCTCCCTCACAGTATATCCCCCCTCCTCACAGTATTACCCCCATGCCTCATAGTATCCTTCCTCCTCACAGTATCACCTCCTCCCTCACAGTATCACCCTCCCTCACAGTATTACCCCACTGCCTCACAGTATTACCCCCATGCCACATAGTATCCTTCCTCCCTCACAGTATATCCCCTCCCTCACAGTATCACCCCCTCCCTCACAGTATTACTCCCTCTCTCACAGTATCCCCCCTCCTACACACCATGACCCCGCTCCCTCACAGTATCACCCACCTCTCTCACAGTATATCCCCTCCCTCACAGTAGCACCCCTTCCTCACAGTATCACCCCCCTCCCACACACTATCGCCCTTCTCTCACTCTGTCACACTCTCCCCCAACCCTGCCACACTCACCCTGTCACATTAACCCCCCTTAATTCTGTCACACTCCCTCCTCCAACCATGCCAGTATGCCACATTCACCCTTCACTCCAAAACTGTGATACTCACCTCACCCCAACTATGCCACACTTACCCTGTCACATTAACCCCTCCAATCCTGTCACACTCCTCCCTGCTACCATGCCACTATTGCCCTGACACACTTACCTCCACTCGGCCTGTCACACTCTCTCATCAAACCATGTTATACTCTCCCTCCCTCATTCTCTCTCACAACCCCCCAACCTGTCCCATTTGCCTCCTTTTTCCTGTCACACTCTCCCTGCCACTGATACCCTTTACTCACTCTATCACAGTCACCAGCTGAAGACATACATCATGCACACTTTATTATTTGGTAAATTATTTTTTAAAGGCTTTTTTGCTCAAACTAAATTTTCATTTTTGTTTTCGAGAACCCCTTCACACGAGTACTGATGTATACACTACTGCCGGGTTATGCAAACATAGCCCACAATTGTGTGTAAACGATTGGCGTAATGGAAAAATAAATTTATTTATTGCAAATTAATTTTATAACATGACAGGAGGCTTCGTATTTGCTTTAGTCTCTCTTTACTAGAACTCCACAGCAGCACAGAAAAACAACCAATCAGAAAAAATTTAGGTACTATAAAACCCCCTTGCCATTGCATCATTTCCTCTTTCTTTGCTGCTCCGCAGTCAGTACTGGTAAGAGTACCACTGCCACCTGCTTCTATTTGGTGGCTTTGGGTTTTATTATGATTTATATTAATTATGCTTAGTTTTTAAGATTACTGTGCCTTTTGGCTCTTCTTTGCTTCCCCTGGTTTTCTTTGGGGATATTTACTTTTTACGTTGTAGTGGTTTCATGGGGGTTCCTGGAGATACCTATTCGGTTTGCTCTCCCTTTGATTTCAACCCCCCCCCCCCAATTTATATTAAAGATTACTGTGAGTTCCAATGACAGTGTATATATCACAGTGTATATCACAGATTGCTGTGAGTTTTACTGACAGTGTATATCACAGATTGCTGTGAGTTTTACTGACAGTGTATATCACAGATTTAGTTTTACTGACAGTGTATATCACAGATTGCTGTGAGGTTTGCTGACAGTGTATATCACAGATTGCTGTGAGTTTTACTGACGGTGTATATCACAGATTGCTGTGAGGTTTGCTGACAGTGTATATCACAGATTGCTGTGAGTTTTACTGACAGTGTATATCACAGATTTCTGTGAGTTTTACTGACAGTGTATATCACAGATTTCTGTGAGTTTTCTGACAGTGTATATCACAGATTTAGTTTTGCTGACAGTGTATATCACAGATTGCTGTGAGTTTTGCTGACGGTGTATATCACAGATTGCTGTGAGTTACAGGTATATATGAAACTCAGTTATACAGGCTCTGTACACGGTGTATACAGAGCCAGTTGGCTAGTTAGCTCTAGGATTGATGTGCTTCACAGTATATATATTCTGGTCCAGCTATGGAGTCTCAGATGATATTACTCTGGTATGAATTCACTGTCCATGACCTATGTTAAAAGCTAAGCAGACCTGGCTCTGGCTCAAACTGGTATGGGAGATCAGTCTATGCTGAAACTATTCTATTTTATCAGGTTCTATGGGGAGATTCATTGAGTTGACAATTGTTTAGCCCTACTCCTGAAAGAGACCATTCGTACATTACCCTTCAGGTGGTGTGATGATGATGATCTATAACAAGATAAGACTCTCAAACAGATTTGTATGTACATGTGCATAGGAAATTCAAAGTGTAAGGAATGTATCGCTCAGTATATCTTGATTTTATGGACACTATAAGCACTGGAACAACTTCAGCTTGTACCCAATATTAACACAGTAAAGGAGTTTAAGCATGCGTGGGATAGGCATAAGGCTATCCTAACTATAAGATAAGGCCAGGGACTAATGAAAGTATTTAGAAAATTGGGCAGACTAGATGGGTGGAATGGTTCTTATCTGCCGTCACATTCTATGTTTCTATAATACAGCTGGAATACCACTATTTTGCCTGCTGGGCATTTAGGGACTGCCAGTCCCGGTTAAGGCTTATACACACAGTATTACGCTGTCTAAAAGGTTTTATGTCTAGGGATCCTAGGTCACAGGATACCCTGAGGATTTACAGATATTTAGGGGACTCTGCCCAAACTTAGGGGTCCCCATTACTCATATAACACGCAACCCAGGATTGGCCTGCTCTGTCTGTGCCTCTATGCTTGGCCTGCTATGTCTGTGCCCAATTGATTGGCCTGCTAGTTCTGCGCCCATTTGATTGGCCTACTATGTCTGTGCTCTTCTGTCTGGCCTGCTCTACCTGTGCCCATCGTTGGCCTGATCTATCTGTGCCCGAACCCCCCTTTTGGCCGCAGGCCTGGGGGAATATCACTGAGGAAAGCTCAGTACCCACTGTTGACATGGAGATAGGTGGGTGTCCAGGCAAACATTGCTGCCATACTATCCAAGAGGACACCAGGATACGGGCACCTAAATATGATTGGAAGGATGAAGGCCCTACAGCTCATGCCCTGAGGGGCAAAGCTTTTATGAAGATTCCCGGGCACGCAACCACGGTTTACATCAGCCAGGCGGCGGCACATCTCCAAGGGGAATCTCGCACAAGCAGGGACCAGTGCTCAGACGCCAACAGGGGAGCACGGTTTCCTTGCCTTCAGCAACTAACCCTTTAGCTCCTGACCTTTTCAGTTGGGTTTACTTGACTTGCTTTTCCGATCTGCTATTTACCTTCTCTCCGAGGTATGTATTTCCCTTTATCTAAATTTTTTGTCGTTTCTTTGTTTTCGTGCCTTCCTATTGTCCTATCGCTCGGGTCATCGAGAGGCCTGACTTGACCTCCTCAGACCTCCCAGGCTCTTGAGGATCGCGGAGAACGTCTCTAGCTTTCCTCAGGCTACCAACGGTCATCCTGGAACCAGGCGGTCCGTTGGTAGTTTCCATCATGGTTTCCGAAGGTTGCATTTCCTAATCGCTTTCTGTTATTAAGCAAGGACACAACCAGAGGTTGTATACTATTCCATCTACCATCGGTCTGGTTTATTACCGGTTGATTCCATCTCTCAAGTGAGAGATTCAGAGAGAGGTCTCGTGGTCAGAGGGAGACCCACATCAGGATCTCTGTCTTATGCTGATATTAGTATATCATATTAGATAATGATGTACCCCGCTGTTGGTCACCCTGAGTCTCTAATAGACTCTAGTTTGGATTACAAGAAGGTGCGGCCCTCCATCGCCTCGGCCTGAGACTGATATTTTTATTTTCACGCGTAGAGAGCGAACCCCTCTCATAGACTGAACTGGACACGGATTCATTATTAGAGGGCGCAGCCCTCACTCAACCTCAGCCTGTTACTGAGCTGGATACAGAGGACATGTCTTGAGTGAAACATTCTCAGAGGGAACAGGACACGAATGTAGACTCTAATGTTTGGTTATTAATGGGTGCGGCCCGCTCATGCCATCAGCCGGACGCTGACACGGAGTTCAGTCACATTATTAGAGAGTGCAGCTCTCTCATACACTCAACGCACTACGGTGCCGTCCATTTGTTCATCACACAGGCTTGTACCTGTACAGGACAACGATGACTGTATAGAGGGGCGTCCCTCCTGCATTCAATTAGATCTAACGACCGTGCTACCGATTTCGATATAGAGGGCTGCCTGATCGTGCAGGGTATACATGTTTGGACTGGATCTCTCTATTTCACCTCCTATAATGGATCTACTGGATCCGGACCACTGTATCCCACGTGAGAAATACTCACAGAGGTATTACTGGGGGAGATTCCCCACTTATTTACACACACTCCTAGGGACGGTACGGCTAACGGATGAGCCCCAGTTGTTACAAGAGTGCAGGTTTAATCTGCGCTATATCAAACAGGCAATTGCACTCTTTTTAAAATATTCAGACCATTGCGAACAAACTGCGCAGACAGTTTTTCCCATGTCAACGTGACATGAGATCCTGAGACCTTCATAGAGCAAACGGGTACTGCCTTGCTCGGTTAACAAGACTAGGGAAGGCCCACAACCCGGTCTGCAAATACACTGTGCGCATTGATCACATGGAAAGACCAGAATCCTCTGTCGACCAGGGTTCTCTGGTCATTACAATCTTGGGATGAGATGACTTTGAGCACATATCTGGAGAACAGGGTTTGAATATGGAGGGCCCTCCTTCTATACTAGATATCCCTCGTGGGAACCGTCTTGGTTTGGGTTCTCGCTAACCCACCTATTCAACTACCATCAAGGAGACCTACTGTGGACTCTATGGAGGAACCCTGTGTGTCCCCGGCTCCTACACTGACATCACAAGTTGGGACCTACCGCTGGAGTACTGCTCAGGATGTGTAGCAGGCTCGGATATGGCTGCCAACATCCTGCTTTGGACGGTTGAAGCTAGGCCCTTGTTTTTTCCTTATATCTGCTCTCTGGAGTCACCTGTCGTGAGTGAAGGGACTTTACGTCTTGTCTGCGTATTAGAGAACGCTATGTGTTTGCGGAACTCCAAGCTAAGAAGGGAGGCCTTGACTCCAGTTCTCGAATTCACATTCCTGGGTCCCTTGACCTAGGACCTACTCTGGGAGTTATGTGCCTGGACAGTCAGGGGTACAGGGACCTAGGGTATAATATAGTGAGACCCCTATCTCGTAGGTGGTGTGTAGACCGGGAACCCATACATGAATTTTGACAGGTCGGGCATGGAACAGGATCGTACAAACGGGTAATCAGATTATTTCACTCTCTCACTACAGCACGTGAGGGCTCTTCTTTGTTATACAGGTCCCAATCATCATTGGATCCGGACATCTTATCACTCTTAGACGATGATATATCTGGATGGAAATCTCAACCCCGGTTTACGTTCCCATCCGTTTGAATATTTCCGGGATTCACAATCCCCAGAATAGTCAACCACCGTTTCACCACACAAGTTCAGTTTGGGACCTTGATTGGACGTCCTTTGGGAGTCCTTTTCTCTACTGCAGCCGCGGATTACACAGTCCATTTGGAATACTGGAACCACTTAGGATACGGCTAGTTTTGACCACACTCTTGCCTGCATAATAAATTTATTCTCGGATGAGACAACTCACCGGGTAGGTCATGAGGGAACGAAAAGACCCTACTCGGTTCTATTACAGAATTGGTGGTGGACTTAGGCGCATTCCTTGAGGTTGGAGATTTGCCTGCAAGGCCACATTGCCTGGTGACCCTGGCATGATTGGAGGAGCCACCTTCCACATCAAGAGTCGAGACATGGTGGCAGTTTCTTCTCGCGGCCCTAAGTCCGCAAATGACCTTCCGCATTTTAAACCTACAGGAAAATGGCTAATAGGTCAGCTTGGCAGCTCATGGAAATGCTAGGAAACAGGTCGCAACCCCACGTGCAATGGATCTATCAGCGGGTGGTGTTTTTCCATATTTGGGATGCTTCGTCAGCTTGCATCTTCATCGATCCGTCTACTGTCACTTTTCGCAGTTGGAAGGTCCATTTAGGATTGCTCGAATAACTCACGGAATAGTTGAAACAAACAGCGTTGGATTTGTTGGCTGAGCGATAAAACAGCAAATATGAAGCCTCCTGTCATGTTAAAAAATTGTAGATTATGCTAGCTTTAGTGTACCTATAATCTTAATTTTATTAATGACAGGAGGCGAGTATTTCCCGCCCATTGTTATCCCTCCCTTGTTTAATTTTATAGTTTGAGTTCATCAGGTATGTATGCAACTCTGCTTGTTGTCACTGCTACCTGTCACTTGTTCTTATGTCTGTTTTTTATAAGTCGGGTTGGGATCTATGCAGATTACGGTAATTTTGGTTGCTACATTGGGTACCTACATGTTTGTTCAGGGTACATTTCATTGGCTAACCAACCTGCTCGATTCTGTTTTTTCTCTTGTTTCAGTTTACAGTCCATCAACACTATTTGGTTCAGCAGTTCTTCTCGGATGGTGGACATTGTCATATTCATTATATCAAGGACTTTGTTTCTTCCCCATTATATTTTCTGCCTTTTGTTCTGTTTTGTCGCAGCTTGAAAGAGGAAATGATGCATGGGGAGGGGAGTTTTATAGTACCTAACTTTTTTCTGATTGGTTGTTTTTCTGTGCTGCTGTGGAGTTCTAGTAAAGAGAGACTTAAGCAAATATTTGGCTCCTGTCATTAATAAAATTAAGATTATAGGTACACTAAAGCTAGCGTAATCTACAATTTTGTCGCCTCTGTCTATATCAATTTGATAAAGACTTGGGAACAGGTCGAAACGTTGCTGTGTCCATTAAATCTGCTTTACGTTATCGCAGTGAGTGCCTGATTTTTTTTTGCTTTTGATATCCGTTTTTAATGGGGTATGCTGACCCACACTTAGTCAGCACCCTGTGGTTTATTTGACTGAGTGCAACCCCCTCAGTGGAAATCATTGAGAGCTTATAGATCTCTTTACCTGTCAATCTTGTAATCAATGCAATCACAATAAAAATAGCTGGTTTACATTTACCGTTTTCCTGGCACTAGAGGATCCTGGAGTTCCCCCCTCCCTCCCGCCCCCCATCACACATTACTAAAGGGGTTAAAACCCCTTCAGACACTTACCTGAATCTGCGCCAGTGTCCCTCAACGCTGGGTCGGGCTCCAGCCATGCTCCTCCCCCGCCGACGGGGGAGACCTAATGCGCATGTGCGACAATGGCCGCGTGCGCATTCGACCTCCCCATAGGAAAGCATTATTCAATGCATTCTTATGGGGATTCCGGCGACTCTGGAGGTCCTCATGCATAGTGTGAGGACGTCCAGCATTGTTTAGACGACCAAAAGTTGTCTAAGAAGCCGGAAGTCCCTCTAGTGGCTGTTTGGTAGACAGCCACTAGAGGAGGACTTAACAATGCAAGGTAATATTTGCAGTTTATAAAAACTGCCATAATTACACTTGCAGGGTTAAGAATGATGGGAGTTGACACCCAGACCACTTCAATGAGCTGAAGTGGTCTGGGTGCCTACAGTGTTCTTTTAACCATAGACTATAGTTCTCAAATGCCCTCAGCTGTTAACCTGACAGTAACGGTTCGTCTTGTTCAATTTTGGGCTTACCATCACATGGGTTGACGGCAACGGCGGCAATACTTCCAGCTGCACAGCCAGCAAGGAAAGAAACAAAGAATGGAGACTTCTCATCTGGCGTCTTCTGCCCCAGCTTGTTCAAGTTGGCAAAGAGAGGGAAATATATAATGGAGAATGGGACATCCCTGTTAGACGAGAGATACAGAGAGCAATGAGGTACAGAAAAAAAGAAACAGTTTAAAAAGACAAATTAATACAGTAAGGAAATGTGTTCTACACATCTGTTAGGAGCAAAACACTTAATCTATTACGGGTATTTTTTGTGTTCTCTGAATTTTGTCTATACATCAAGCTAACCAAATTGCTGGTAAATGTTGAGAAAGGTATTTCTAGTTTTTAAGACATTAGGTATGATTTTGTTTGAAGATATACAAAAAGGATTGCCACTGGAGGTACACACTCCAAGAAAAGAGAAAAAAAAAGAAAAAAAAGACACGTAATATTACATTAAAGTTAAATGGAAATATTATCATCAATCACTCTCTTTATTTGTCATAAGTAAGTTATTTATTTTAAAGTTGTGCCTCTATTCCCTTACCTTAGCAGCGTGGCCCCCAGGCCCTTGTACAACCCAGCTATCCCTTTGCTCCGCAGCAGCTCCCGGGAAATTTGAATAGCTGTGGCTCTTGCTGGGATGGACTCCGCCACACCGTTTGCACTTGCCTGGGCTGCCATCAGCTTCCTCTGAGCGGCTGTCAAAACAGAGCGTAATACTCTGATACACCATGATTATAAAATACAGTATTATTAAGCTAACACAAAACAAGCACCCAGGTACGGTTACTGAAATAAATCAAATTCAGCTACAGATGGAAGTTTACTCAATAATGGAGACTAGACAAAAGATATACAATGTGCAGCTCTAATAGAGACCGGGGATGAGAAGATAGTGATTAGTACTCAGAAGTCACATGTGAAGTAGTCATGTGCATGAGAATGTCATGGGCATAATGGAGTGGAGACTGAAAGTACAAAATGTGAATGTATTTGTTGTGTTATTTGTTAAGAGGTGGAATAAAATACCATATTTTGACAAGTGGTGGAAATATGGAAAATGGGAGGCGTCACCAATGGCGTGTTCCTACTCGTTTCACTGTTTTTTTCACAGACTGTCCCACTTTGAGCTCATTGTAGTATTTTCAGATATTTCTCCCACTTTAAATTTTGTGGCAATTTCAATAAGTTAAAGGCTACGAATCTGTATTGTTTAGGCTCATTGAAAAAGTACTTTTTAATCAAGAGTATAAACATTTGGAGGGAAGGTGAGAGAAGGTCAGAGCAAGACACAAAATTAAAAATTCCAAAAAGGAATGGGTCGCAATCGTGAGAAAGGAGAGAATTAATCATTTATACACGAAGTGGAGATCACGGGCTGGGGGGCAATGTTCACCCGTACACAACACTGTCTTAACTACCTATTCTACCATATACAGGGCAAGCAGCTCATTTCTGGCGGCATGAACAAATCTACCCAACACTGGAAGATACAGTACGTGTATGACCATTTGGTAGTTTGTATAGACACTGCACTGGATTGGTGCAAGCTTAGTGTTAACAGTTTTCACAAGAATAGTGATCCTCATTGTACCAGGTCTGCTAGAATGTACATATGGGTTTCACCTATGAAGAAAGACATGTGTTCTGTCATTAGACTCTGGTAGAATGTCAACTTAGCAAAATGGATCCCCTGCCTTTCAGTGTTACCTGGACTAAGAGAACATGTGCATCCGGGAGATGTGAAGTTTGAGTTACTTTTCTAATAATTCTAGCCAATTGGCATACAAACTTTCAGAGAAACTAGTAATGGATGACTTTCTAATAATCAAACTATTTCTCTGCATTTTAAATGGAATGTGGTAGGGCTGATGGAGATTGTAATTTCGGTATGGTAGCCAAAGTAGGAAATAATAAGCTCCTCATGCTAAATTATTCTAGTCACTAGATCATGCATGACAAGTCACTGGCCTTTGTCTAAAATGCATATATTACCCAGTCTCCCGGCATCTTGCAGTTGGATTTTCAGCATTTCCATTGGCGTAGTAACAATGACCTGGCAGGTCCCAGCGCCACATCCAGCCAGCATTTCTTTAATCAGTGTTAACTTCTTCCTACCAAGAAGACGGACACCATTATCATATGGTCATCCAGGGAAACAAAAAGCAGTCCACATTTTTTAAATCTGCTGTGTTCACATTGTAAAATATGACAGAAATCCCACTTAACAAAAGAGTTCTAAACACAAACAATATTATAATAATTTGCATACCTAGATACACAACAGGGGTGGACAAAATATTGGAAACACATGGGAAAATACAATTAATGTTTAACGTAAACTATAATTACAATTGCCTCTGCAGAGGTTAATCCTAGGAGGCAGACTGAGACTGCCTATGAACAGCATGTGCCCATTATAATCGCGGAGTCATTAACACATTAATATTATCTACGTTTTCAAACAGTGGGAAATCAGAGTTCCAAAGCAGCCAAAGTTTGGCTTAGAGAATTATTTTCACTGACCCATGATGCCTGGGGTATGATCGTGTGTGCTTGGGCACCTAAATCGAGACATTCTGTACATGCCCACTTAGCATTTTCTCCAGAAAAGCTGTACACGTACGTAGGCCGTAAGCACAGCACTACAAGAGTTAATTAATTTACATAGTTTGCCTCGTGTTGCCGGGTAAAAGATGATAACTTAAATAAAAACAAATCTATAAAAAAAAAAATGGGTTTTTTTTGTTTTTGTTTTTTTATATTTGGCACATCCAATAACTACATTTTATTTAGCCATTTGGTTGTGCTAAAATTGGGGACATGATAGTACCTCTTTAAGTTGTTCACAAAGTAGAAATACCGTTGTAATTTTTACATCAGCCCTGCCAATAAGAATTTGAACGCACAGCGTAATGCGTATGACACTGGCATACGCATTAAAAAAAAAAGATCTCTCAATGTAATTATGTTGAAATTGAGAAGGCACACGATATACCTTTTTAGCTCTCTCAACAAACAGCAGTTAGGTTAACAATACACTACAGATATCATCAATGCGTTCTGACCTCTGATGACTTTATCAAGATCTTAATAACGTGGTACTGACATGAAACACATTTATATTGCTGATCTACTGAAGCGTGATTCCTCTAAGAGACCATGAAAAGCAAGCAATCTGAGAATGAGATAACGCCGTCCGACAGCTGAATCACTTTAACATCCACCTGCAAGTAGACAGCAACCAGACGTGGTTTAAAGATATAACTCACGAAAAGGTGGATGCGTGTTTAGATATTTATATAGTCCAGGTATTCTAAAGGTTGTATTAGATCAGTGATGGTTTAGTTTGGCATTCCATGAACTATATTTCCTAGATTTCCCATGATGTGTTTATGACCTCAGAAAAAGCAGAGTGATTGCTGGAAATAGACCATCCCTGCACTGGATTACCTTTAGTGACTTTTTTTTTTTTTTTACACGATAATTTTTTTTTATATACATTTAAATGATGGTGGAGGGCAAATGCTAAAGTAGTAAAAATACATATTTAACTTTAAAAATAAAAGAATTGTTTTAAACGTTAGAGTGTTCCTTTAGCTGCCAAGAATTGGAACTGTTTTGAGGGTCAGCTTTTATTTACGATAAACCCCCCTCGGCCCCAGCCCACATTCCTGTTATATACTTTTGTGGGAGGAATAGGTTAGAGTCTAGCAAGATCTTCCTTCATTTTCTGTGGTAGTAAACGAAATGGGAAAAAAATCCATGGACTTTGTAGGAATTCAAGCACTTCATAATAAATATATAAATAAATAAATCAGCATTAAAATATTTTTCTAGCATTTATTTACAGCCATTGTGTAGGCAAAAACACCAGAAAGTAAAAAGCATGCTTCATTCAGTCCAACGCGTTTTGTGCTTTGCACGTATTCATAGACTGGTAAATGAAATGGCTAAATATATCCTATGCCTCTTTTGCATTCACTTCTTTTGTGTGGATGGTAATGAAAAAATGTAATTTTCTCCTGTTAATTCACACTTACTAACTAGGAATGGTATATCACACTTATTTACTGCGAGAGGTTACAGAGCCACCTATAGTTATATCACTGTATAAATTATCACTGCTTTTCACTCAAATGAAACTACACAAATTAACATACATATTGTTCTTTTATATTGTGATTTTTTTTTCTTTCAGATTGTAGATTGCAACCGTCCTCTGTACAGTTTGTGTGCGTTTTATATTCCCTTTAAATATTGCTTTTTTCTTCATTTGATGTGTACCCGAACACATACAGAGTACATGATCAAATGCTTTCCAGGCCCATTCTGTCCATCTGACACTCCCTGCATGCAGTACGTCTGTGCACCACGTTAATAATAGAAGCCTGCTGTTCACATTCTCTCACAGCAAATTCATCATTCTACGCATCGGGGAGATTGTTAGATCACAGCATATGCCAGATGAATTAAATAAAATACAAGCAAAAAACAGGAACATCAAAGGAGAGGGAGTAGGAGGCATCCATGCTTGTATGAATATGTTACACGAGGAAGGGGGCAATTATAGGCAGTAAAATACAGCCGAACGCAAATACTTGTCTGTCTGTCTGTTTCTATAGGTAATATTGTGCAAAATGTTGTCACTTCCAAGATGTTTATTATATTTATTCCCTATATCTAACAAATATGTGTTTGTGAAGTCTGAAAAATAAATTAATCCCCACTGCGCTATCCCTGAACAGATGGCGGCTTCCTGTCAGCCATTGCTGTACCAGTCAGTCAATCAGAAAAAAGGGAGCATAAACAGACGAGGAGTAACAGAAGCAATGCCGTCTCCAAAACAATGTGTGCCCTAGCTGTGCCTTGACTGAACTGGATTATGATGTAATTTGCATGCACAGCAGTATTTTTTGGAGAACACTGCATGCTGGGATGGGATAATAAAGTGTGGGAAATTATGTTTAAAAAAAAAAAAAAAAAAAAATCGAATAAAAATAATTCGCTAAACACAACTAACTAAACTAACCCTCGCATTGCACCTGCCGTTTGGGTGCTGGAGTACCCCTTTTAGGCAGTTTTGCTTATGTATATGTTGCGTGTGCACAGAAAGCATTAATGACAATGTATCTGGACAAAAGACCGTCTATTTTTAATGCATTGCAACTAGATACATTTTAAAGGTCTATGCAAAGGTGGGTCTCTCCGCAACTTCAGGCAAACCTCTACTCGCCAGAAAGAGACACTCGAGTAAGAAATGTCTCATTCTAAACACTGGGGTCTTTTTTTGTCCTGTAAACCCCTGCCCAGCGTGCGTGAATGTCACCTATAGTTTATCCCACCGCAGCAATTCCATTAATCTGATGACTGGAACTGCTCCATAGACTGTAGACAATCCTGCAGTGCAACTGCTTAGTGAACTGGGCTGTGTGCACCAATCGATAGCACCATTGTCGAAGCATGCATGGTGCATGGCTCAGCACTCACTAGGGAGGAAAGAGAGAGCTCAGCCAAGGCTGAGCGCGTGGGGTGTGCATGCTGCACACAAAAGTTGGGCAAAATTGGTATCAGGCTGCCTGGAACTGAGCACCCATTTTAATGTATCACTACATGTTACACTGTATACAAAATCCTCTGAGAAAGCCGCTACAGTTTGACAAAAACGCGTAGGAAAGTGGACACTGACATTTGGGCCACACTGTTAAGCTTTGTATTAAGGGAAGTGCAATAAATATGTTAAATGGATACTCCGGAGCCCTAAATCCCTTTAGCTTACTGTGTCCTATATTTTCTTTTTTTTTGGCAAAAAGTGTAGATTTCAATGGAATTTGGGACATTTATAAAATTAACCTGGTTACACCCCCCATTACAGTCAATCATACAGGCCCTCTTACTTTCAGGCTTGGTTAGCTCAGTGGAACTAAACTCAAAAGGTAGGCAATTGCTCAAAGCACCTGCCTTGCAAAGACTTCTCGAGCTGCATTGGGAAGTCTGTGATTGGACAGCAACAAAAACTATTCTATTATTCTTTTTTGTATATTGTTTCACTTGGTGTGGATGCAGTTGTGTTAAAGGGAAACTCCAGTGCCAGGAAAACAATCAGTTTTCCTAGCACTGCAGGTTTCCTCTCCCTCCCACCCCCCAATCCCCGGTTGCTGAAGGGGTGAAAATCCCTTCAGTCACTTACCTGAGGCAGCGACGATGTCACACGTCACTGCTTCTTCCTCCGCGCCGCTCCTCCTTCTGACTGCGTCGGCCGGTGGGCGAGACTTATCCCGCCTACCAGCCGGGGAGACCTAATGCGCATGCGCATTAGCACTCCCCATAGGAAAGCATTGAAAATGCATTTCAATGCTTTCCTATGGGGGAAATGAGCGACGCTGGAGGTCCTCACACAGCGTGAGGACGTCCAGCGACACTCTAGCACAGGTTTCATGTGCTAGCAACCAGGAAGTGCCCTCTAGTGTTTATAAAAAACTGCAATAATTACAGTTGCAGGGTTAAGAGTAGTGGGAGTTGGCACCCAGACCGCTCCAATGGGCAGAAGTGGTGTGGGTGCCTGGAGTGTCCCTTTAAGGTTAGTGTGCACACAGTTTGTATATTGTTGAGCATTCTAAATGCCTGATTGAGATGGTGAGTGGCCTTTTAAAAATTGGGTAGACAGGTTCACGATAATTCAGTCATATTGTGAAAATAACATCATGAGCAAGGATCTGCTCTTTTTTTTCCATCTGTTAAAAATGTTAATGATATTTTATAAATATTCTATTAATATATATAGGCTCTCTTTGTGCAACTTCCTAATCAGAATAGAATGTAAGCTCATGGAGCAGGGCCCTCCACCCCCACTGTTCCTATACATCCAGTTGTCTGGTTACAATTATATATCTGTTAGTCCACCCATTGTACAGCGCTACGGAATCTGATGGAGCTAAAGAAATAATAAAATAATAATATAAACCATGTCCCCTGTTTCACACAGCGTTAAACATTTGTGTATCGTAACAGTTGTGTTGCTCATCATGAACAGTAGGTGGCAAACTCATTTTATTCAACAGAATTCCTGCAAGCTACCAATGCTTTTTAAATTGTACATGCTTTTCAGTTTAGTTTCTCATCCCCAGCTGTTTCATCTGAAATAACGGAGAAACTGCAATAAGGGGGAGGAAAGCAGTTTTTTGTTAAGACAATATTCACTTTAGATGTTAAAAAAAAGCAGCGTGTGATGATGTAACTGAAAGGTTTCTGTTTAACAGCTGAGAAGATACTGTGCAAACTGTCCGACTGCAACTCTAATCACTCTCAACGATCATTAGTTTGGATTATGGGACTTCTAGTCCTGCAGTGACTGGAGGCATGTAATTGGTCAGTATAATGAATGAGGCTGGCAGTACAACTGATGGAAAATTTTGCTACAAAAAGAGGGGGTTGGATGGCCCCAATTTGCCAGCTTACAAATTAGTAAGGAATGGGTTAACTTCTTGTTCCTCTCCAACGAAACAGTTCCAAGTGACCACTTCCTCAGCACAGTGAGAGCTTGATACTATTTCTGGCTTACACAGCAAAACACTAGGAACAATGACAGGCCTCGCTCACATCACAAAATGAAAGTATGCTTTCTCATCTTGCGTTAACATTTCATACTTCTGTCTTCCTCCCTCCTCCTTTTCAGTCTTGCCTTTTTTTTTTTTCACTATTTGTTGAGAGTCTTATATCTCATGCACTCCTGCTGTTCATCTTACTCGTCCATGCTGTGCGCCCACTGTAATTTTAATCCTGTCTATCAGGGGTGGGATAATGCTGGATAACCACTGGCTGATCACTGTTTAGTAGATATGCCCCACCATCCTCAGCGTCATGGCAGGTGTGGGCATACTATTAACCCCCATAGGCTTTTTTTTAAATTTGTTTGTTTAACTCATTTCACATTGTTGAGACTGGCTAACAAGTGTCATCCAGCCGCTGTATGCTTAACCCTGGAACCAGAGGATTGTTTAACTATTTACCTGCTGGTGCTAGCAATAGCAATCAACAGTTCAGATTTTTAAAATGAAAATTAAATCGGGACCAAATTCAAGTTCGTTCCGAGTATGCTCAGCAAATGCCAACATTGGTAAAAAGTGTGAATGATGTTTGGATTTTGCTGTCAGAATGGCCCCGTACAGCAGTGGATGGTTTTACCCCCATTTGATACAGGGATATTAGGACTATAGTGAATAACCCTACTAGTGAGATGGTCACAACAAGTTCACTTTAAGTATTGCTAGTAAAGGCCCAGCATGCATATTTAATCAGTTTCCACTTTGGTAGCTTTGTCTTTTTTTGTCATCTGTTGCAGAGTTTTTTGAGTGATGACGAACGTCATCTAATCTGATTTTTTGTGAGTCATCAGCAATCCTTGCCAAAACTTACAGTAAAAAGAGCTATAACCAGCTCTAAGTAAAACAGCATACAGTGGTATTTAAACTCCCCACATGTAGGACATCCTTCTGGTGATGTATGGAGTGCAGGATTTATGAAAGACAAAAGCACAAAAGAGAGCCCATAGTGTTCTCAGTAGATAAAACGGTGCTAAAAAGTCAAATGAAACGTACTTACAATGTATAGAGCAGCCACACTGCTCTATAAACCAGGCGTGAGTGGAATGATCCCCACCTAAGGATTTCTTTGTAGTACTGGATCTTTTTAAAACAGTAAAAAAAAAGCCAGTATAAAAGTAGCAAAATATAAAAGTAGAAGAACTGACCATAGGGATATGGATAGTCTAAAAATAATTTTATTATAATAAGGTAATAAATAACACAACACGTTTCGCCCAAAATAGGCTTTTTCAAAAAAGCTCCATACATCACCAGAAGGATATCCTACATGTGGGGAGTTTAAATACCACTGTATGCTGTTTTACTTAGAGCTGGTTATAGCTCTTTTTACTGTAAGTTAGCACTCTTAGGACTTCAGTATTTGTCTGTAGCTGCAGGTGCCATACGCTATTGTACCATTGGTCTGTTTCTCTTTTTGTTTTTGAGTCGTTATACAAAGCCTTGAAGAATTATCTATTGTCCAGCTATATCCTACATGTGGGGAGTTTCAAATACCACTGTATGCTGTTTTACCTAGAGCTGGGCATAGCTCTATTGATCGTGAGTTGGCATTTTTCTCTCTCGGTGTTGTCCGTGACACCATCCTATACAGTTTTGCACTATTGGTCTTTCTTTGTTCAATTTTGTTTTTCATATCCACTACTAAGGAACGTATCAAGAATTTAGGAAGACCTTATCAAGACCCACCCTGTATTTTCAGAGACTTTCTCTTTGTAAATATTATTTAATATTTGTATTATTTATTCCTTATTTATTCCACCCAGTGCACCCTGTATTTTTTGTTGTTTCTTGCTCACATAATAAAGAGTGCACATGTGCAGAGAATATATATTTTGGGCCACAGTTTGTATACATCGTTGACAATGAGAAAATAGAGATATGTAGATACAATATGTAAATATCATGCGGTGACCAAATCTAGAATATTTGTGCAGGGTTAAAACTCTTATTAAAGTGTAGGTTAAACTACTGAACATAAACAAAAGTAAAATTTACTGCTGCACAGTGTGCAGCACTGCCCCGGGAAGCACCTCTAGTAGCCATCTGAGGAGTGGCCAGTGGAGTTATCACTAGGCTGTAATGTAAACACTGCATTTTCTCTGAAAAGACCATGTTTACAGCAAAAAGCCTGAAGGGAATGATTATACTCATCAGAACAAATACAATAAGCTGTAGTTGTTCTGGTGACTATAGTGTCCCTTTAATATTATGTTTTGTTATGCCTCATTTTTAACGTGTTTTTTTTCCAGGTCTTAAAAACGTTAAATTAAATTCAGAAATCCACACATTTATTTACTTATATCATAGAACAGAGGGCATCCATCTTGGCTCCCAGTCAATCATTATTTTAAGCTATGTCATTTACAACTGTCAGTCATAACAGAGATTGTATACAGAGTATAGGAGTAGAAAAGTAGAAACAGCAACATTGTAAAATGCATTGTGTGCCCTGCCTGTGCCAAGACTGAACTGGATTGGAATGTACATTTCTATATATTTAATATACATTTTTATGTAAACTGAGCATCATATGGAATTACACTATTAAATAACATTGAAATTCACCTACAACACAAGTTATGGTTAATCAATTTTATTCCACAGTGTAATTACAGATAAGTAACAGTTCTCTATTAAACCTACAAGTGCTTAATGTGGAGGAGGAATAAAGAAAACTAACAGTGTATTTTACCAAAATGAGAATTATACGTGAATTTCAAATTTAATTCCAGAATATCCGAAATGAAAGCTTCTGTGATTTCGAGAATATTTTGCATTTAGACCTTAGATTGGAAATTTACTTTGAATTCACCTTTAATTTTTACTTTACTGAATAACCCTGTTAGATGTATTTTCTACATATTTAAAGCTGTATTCCACGACACTTACTATATATGAGCACATTTCTATTGGATATGCTTCTATGCTTTCTATACATCTCTCCAGTTCCATCTTAACTTCGCAAATACATTTCCTCGATACGTATGATATGCAACTGTGCACTATGACATACACAGTCTCACAGGGTTAAGATATACATAAAGTCATGATTGAAGGGAGCTATCAATAATATAATAATTATAGCTGTACCTTAAAGGGACACTCCAGGCACCCAGACCACTTCTGCCCATTGGAGTGGTCTGGGTGCCAACTCCCACTACTCTTAACCCTGCAAGTGTAATTATTGCAGTTTTTTATAAACTGCAATAATTACCTTGCAGGGTTAACTCCACCTCTAGTGGCTGTCTACTAGACAGCCACTAGAGGGCACTTCCTGCTCTATAGCACAGAAGATCTGTGCTAGAGCGTCACTGGACGTCCTCATGCTGTGTGATGAACTCCAGCGTGGCTCATTTCCCCATAGGAAAGCATTTTTCAATGCTTTTCTATGGGGAGCTCTAATGCGCATGCACGACATTGCCGCGCATGTGCATTAGGGCTCCCCGGCCGGTGGGTGGGATCAGTCTCGCCCACCGGCCGACGCAATCATTGGGAGGAGCAGTGGCGGAGGAAGAAGCAGCGACGTGGGACATTGTCGCTGCCTCTGGTAAGTTAGTAAAGGGGTTTTCACCCCTTCAGCAACCGGAGTTGGGAGGTGGGAGGGAGAGGGGACCTGCAGTGCCAGGAAAACGGATTGTTTTCCTGGCACTGGAGTTTCCCTTTAAGGGAAACATAGGATAGCTATTCTTATTATTATATTTTTTATGGGGTTAGCTGTATGCCTGATCATTATTCATAACTATTCTTATCGCCTTCTGATTCTTTAAAGAGACACTAACAGGGTTACTCAATAAAGTGAGAAATTAAAAGGTCAAAACTGGAAAATACTCTAATTCGGCTCTGCTTTCAGTTCGGCTGCTCTTGTCCTCAATTTGAAATTCTCTATGAATTCACATTTTGGTAAATAACCTTGTAAGCAGTATAACCACTACAGCTTACTGCAGAAATCCCAACATGCCAAAACTCATTTCAGGGAGGTGGCTGCACCCCCCATGCACGCCCCCACATGCGGCCCCCAAACCCAGTTACACAAAGCATATGACAACTACTTACACACACTATTAACATACGGACACATGCACACACCTTGACACACACATATACACACAGATACCAAAACACCACACATACCCACACTGGCACATATACACATACATACACATTGACACATACACACATGTACATACACAGGCAAATACACTCAGATACCCACACTGGCACATATACACATACATAGATAAACACATTGACACATGCACACAGATACAAACACACCTGTACATACACTGGCGAAGACACTCGGATACACACACTATTACATATACACACACACACACACAATCTGACACACACACAATCTGACATACACTGCAGCCACCTGTTAGCTTACCTTTTGTTGTCTGGGCTGAGGCTGTAGGGAGTGAACATGCAGCAGGAGCAGCTCACTCCATCCTCTCCCTACTGCCTGCTCTGGTGCCGCCTCCAGCTTCCTCCTTCAGCTGCTGCCTCCTTCTCCTTCCTCCCATGCGGCTGTTTTTTTTCAGCTGGGAGGAAATGACAGCATACCACTTCCTCACGGCTGGCATATACTGCAGGGGGTTGGTCAGGCTGTTAAAGGGCTGGGCCCCAGACCGGGCTCCTATTCAGGATCAATACCCATAAGGTGGGTAATGAGTATAGGTCATTTATAATGTGTAATATCCTGGAAATCAAGCACACACAATCTGACACATTGAATGTCAGATTGTATGTATGATTTCCGGGATATTACACATGGTGTGCGGGTGTCCGGAAACCTCATTAGACATGGATATCTGTTACTGCAATGTATATAGTGCTTAGAGTGTCACTTTGTATATGCAGAATCATATGTTAACCATCACGTGTCAGTGTGTCTACATCACCTATTTTATGTGTGGGTGCGTACACATACACACGCAAACACCACAAAACCTTCCCATTGAATTGCTTTAGGTAGAAGATGTAAAGACAATGTATTTCATAATTAATTAAGTTGTGTTGTACATAGATTCTTTTAACACTTACCCATCTTTGGACAAGAACTGCCTGAAAAAATCATTTGCAGCTAATTTAATGGCCTTTTCTGGTGTAACAAGGGTTAAATTGACCGCCGCACCTGCATGGGAGTTGCAAAAAATAATAATTTAGTTCTTTAGCTGGATATGTACAGGCATATAGCTATACTGTAGAATACACATGGTTAAAGTTTTTTTTTTTTTTTTAAATCAGTTTTCCTTTTCTTGGAAGAAAAAATGTGTTTTTGCATGTGTTGCATTATAATACTACTTTTTAACATTGTCCATATTGTACTTGTATAAACACTGCATAGGTCACCATTTTATTTTTAAGAATCTATATCTCCAAATACACGTTTGTTCTTTACTCACCTCTGTACATGCCAAAGTATCCTTCGGAACGGATTGTCTTAATGAGGCAATCTGACCTAAAAAGAAAATAAATTAAAAAAATATATGTAATTATTGTCATAATGCATGCTTCCAGTTTGGCAATTTATCCTTAAGTTTGAAATCCACTTTGCATTTCTGACAATTCTATTTTATTGAATAACCATGTTAATTTAGAGAGAAGTGATGCTCACAGCGCTTACAATTTGAAGTCTTAAGCTACTAGCAAGGCCTTAACAGTTACTCACAACTGCGGAGATTTTGTTGCCTTGCCCTTTCCTCCAGATTGGGAGAGAAAAAGCGTTAAAGAACATTTTAGTCTAACCTCTTGGCTGATTAATCTCAGCTATGTTCTTTGGGCAGCAGCTGTTTTGGGTGCTCTATTTTGTTCAGTGCTTACCTTATTCACGGTAAATAATAATTTTTATAATAATTTTTTTTCTTATTCTGCAAGGATAACGGATTTAACATAACCTGACAGAACCATGCATATTCTTGTTTTTTATGCTACATTACCAGTTTAATGCTCTTTACCATGCTTTTTTTCCATAGGCACTGGCCCAAGTAATAGGGTTAAATTGTATTTGCACTGTAACCAAGTCTCAAGCATTTGCTACATTATCATGACTCTCTGCAGACTCAGCATCAATTGTTGTGCTTAGTGTGGTCAGAACATCAGATGACTTCCCGTTGCTAATTTCAAGGACATTGTAGAGGTCAGCAAGGGAGAGAGAGGAAGGTGAGAACATTCATAAACAACATTTGTTCTTAAAATGTGATTGGACTGCGTCCAGGATTTACGCAGCTGTGGAGTGATAAGCAGGAAGAATTATGATAAAGTGTTAAAAAATAATCTACACAGTTTGACAAAGGTCATCACAGAACAATCCTCACAAGTAATATCTCCCATATACTGAGTTTCATGATTCATGGTAGTAAGGCTGCCAAGACTCACAAAACTTGGAGACCGTTGTATTAAAAGATACATTTTAATACTACTAACCGTTACAATTTTATTACAAAGACTGTCAATGTTCCGTGCTGCCGTGTAGGCATAGCGCTCCCAGATGGCTTGCTATTGAAATTAATATAAGAAAAGGCAAGGAGTGGCACTAGAGCAAAAATTCTCAGCACTCTACACAGTGAATCAAATACAGTCTTCACCGACCATTAACAAATACCACATCACCTTCCCTCCATATCAAGGTTGCTGAAGGTTCTTTGGGCACTGGAAATTGCATGACCTTATCTGATTAATTACTTATCATGCTTTCCATTTCTGCTGCTTGGCACTTCAAGGAGGTTGGCAGAACCCACACCTTGAGACTCTTTGTTGTTAGTTACTGGATACAGCTGTTCGAAAACAGCTGGAGTGTTGCATGATTGCTAATCGTTTAAGGAATATTGTACAAAAACTAGACTAGATGTGACTGACCAAGCAACCCAATCCCTCAGTGACGTTACTTACATGCTGCTGTACATACGCTGGCCATTTTGCTGGTTTTGTAGTCGAGTCTTGGCCAAGTCAATAGGAAAAACACAGGTCACACCAATCAGTCCAGCTATTCCTCCATTTAGAAGTTTGGCAGGCAAACTGTAAACCGAAAAATAGCACTATAATTAGTAAGAATGTACGCAAGAGATATAATGGGGTTTTGGACTTATTAATGTAGCTTATCAGTTCACAACGACAGAACGCTGAACAGATGATGAGTGTGTTGTATATTTTGATATTCTGCGTTTTAAATACCAATTATGACCAGAACAGCCACCGCAAAATTAAACATAATCTTACCGACCAATTTCTCTTTGAGCAGCTGATGTCGTGGTAAAAATTATTTTTTTTAAATGAGCTCAGCAGCAAACTCAATATAAGCAGATAGCGTAATCAAAAGTTAGAAGGAAATATAGCAAATACGGGAAACCTAACCAATACGCAGCGTTCCGGGCTACAAAGTGTCCATACTCTTAGACCTCATGCACATTTTATTGGACTTACTCGTGAGAGCTTTAATTATTCATTGACATTTTTCCTTGGCTTATTTTATCTTAGTGTTGTGTCGTAGGATTTATTCACCAGCAAATTATAGATCACACACTAAACCGATTTCCAAATGTTAGGCAATAGCCACAGATATTGAATATATCTCCCAGGTTGGCTATTTTAGTCTGAATTTTGGCATTTAGATTTCTTTTCACTAGAATTCGGTGTTTAGTGAATAGGCCAACGTGAGTCCGCTGTACGTAAAGAATGGTGGTGAAAGAAAAAGCAGTAAATGATTGGACTCTGACTTTGCACGAACCACTCCCAGAGGTTTCTCACAATAAGATACTGATGTTATCTGTTACATACACTATTTCTTTCTATTCCACAGTATGCCAAGAAAAAAAAACTGAGGCGGCTTTCTTGTACAGAGCTCAGAAACCATAAACTGTTCTAGCAATGTCTGAAAGGAACTACTTCTAAGTATCTACAATAAAACCAGAGCCATAACAACTGTCACTGTTCAAATATTTGTTCTGTGTATATGTTTATATATGTATCTTTGTAACTATTACTTATAGCATTGCTCAGTTAAAACATCCCTAGAAACCAATGAAATCTCACATTCCAAACACTGTGTGTCTTTCTGTGTGTGTGTGTGTGTGTGTGTCTATACACACACAGAAAACACACACACACATACTATCATGCACACATGGTACAGATCTGCCTGTTTTTCAAAGTTCAATCTTAGCAGCTTTAACCAATTTAACTCGACAAGAAACAAGTGACATTTTCACTATTTGCAGTGTTTTTTTCCACTTGTGTCAGCACTTAATGACACAGCGTCTGAAATCTGTCCTTTCTGGGCTTGGTTAACCATTTAGTGTCTTTCCTCATTCAGTGTATGGATAAGATGACACCGATCTAGGGCAAATGACACGGAAACAGAATTATGAACCTTGGAATATGTGGCCAGAGACACATCACATTCAGAAACCTGCTAATTCAGTTTATCACCAAACACTGTATGATCGATTTAATGTATATCCCAACTGGTTCTATATGGTTGTATCACAGAACCAAAATAGTTTTTTTATTGACCTATAGCAATAAAGAATTTACTTTAGTGGATTTTGTTTTGCATAAACCATGTCCCTGCAGTCTGACAAATGTAAACATTACTAATTTTGAGAAATGGCAATGTTTACATTTGTCATTGAGAATGCCTCTATTAGCTGTCAGACATCAGAAACCCTTCATAGTGAAGACTTTTTAATAACAGAAAGTCGTCACATTTGGTCTCATCGCGCCAAGTATGAGGGCACTGAGTGCTAACCCTTCGTCTCTATAAGAAGCACTGGGATAATGCTTCTCGATGAGGAGCATTGGATCTGCATAAAATAACCATCACTAATGATCTTAGAAGATGGTGAGCAACTGCCGTGGCAAGAACGGACTAGCACTGGTTTAAAGTTTTTTGGTTTTTTTTCTTACACTGTCAAAGGGTGGTCCCAATAATCTTAATGCAAAAACGAACACTCTAAGTGTAATTAATCACTGCAGGTTTTTTGAGGTCCAAGCCAAGATGAATGAATGGATTCCACAAATTCTGCCAGGTGGAACATTGAAGTCTTGCCCGACAGAATGCAGAATGCATAGCATACCTGAATATAATCAAGGTTCTCTCCTCAACATAACCTGGAATAATGGTTTCGATGTAATGCAATAGCAAGATTGGTGGCTCTCCAAATTGGCAGTAATAGCTCTTTTTAGGAATTGATCTGTTTTACTGAAAGGTGAGAGAATGATAATGATGCAAGTCATTCCCTCTGCAAAGACTCATGAAACCTTCAGAATTCCACAGTCACGTTCGTGCAATCATTCACCTGATTTGTTTATCAGCCATTTAATTTCAACCGATTCCAGATAAACGTCACAACTCCTCCTAAACTCAGCGAGTCTTCCTTCTGGTCTGGCAGATCCTGAGAGGGAAAAAAATTTAAAAAAATATTAATTCAATTTGCTCTCTGGCTCACGAAACAAAACCTTTCAAATACCGCAATCGATGTCACCTGAAGACTTTACTCAATGCTTATTGTTACTGGTAAAAACCCTCCTCTCTGACCACACATACGTTTGTCAACCATTTGAGCACAATGTAGGTGTTCTATTTCACTGTGGCCACACTCAAGCACTCGAAGAGTTAAAGCTATTTTTTTTCCTCCTGGACACAGCCTTGACTGCAGACTTGTTGAGAATCATAAAGGGTTCTCTATTCGGATTTAAAACTTGAAAAGGAAAATTAGAAGCACCTACTTTAAACCATTAGAAGAGTGACAAAGCAGCTATTGTTTCAAAAAGCAATTGAAAAGGTACGAATTTAACACTCTGCAGGTCACTGGAAGATGGGTATCATAGCTTTTCTTTGTAAAAGCCACTCATATAATTGAGAATATTATATTGAAACAAATGTGGCAGGTGGCATTGCCAAATCTGCTGCTTTGTACAACAGGGCAATTATTTAAAGGAACACTTCAAGCACCATAACAACTACAGACTGCAGTATGAAATAAAGATTTTAGTATGCTTTGACACCTCTCATGGATACCCCGCGCCAAAGCAGCCTATCTGGTCTACTGCATATGCAGCTGATGTCTCTATAGAATAAATCACGGCAAATGCAGGACCACACTCAATTTCTGAGCGCACTCAGCTGACACTATCAGGCAATGAGTGAAGCCTTGTATGTCCCTACTTAGCTCTGTAAAGCAATGTGGATTATCGTGCAGAAGGCCAGATGCAGGAGATGTAACCAGGGGCATCCAGGAGAGACAGGAAAAGTGATACCTTACTAAAATGGTTTGACTACTTACCATGGGACGGTGCCAGGCACTGTGAGGTCTGTAGTAGTTATAGTGTTTGGAGTGTTTTTTTAAGTGATCTAATAAGTAAGGGTTTTAAGCGTTGTTACAAGTGCATTAAACTGAAGGGGTTACTTGCCAAGAGATTGTAACTTTGTGATCACGTGTGTAAGAGCAAACACATTGTGTTCCGTGTACCAGGGTGAGCTGGGCAGGGCTATGATAAAATGAAAATCACATGATATAAACTTTTCATTATGTATATATATATATATACACACACACACACACACACACACACGGTCTTTTCTGGCACTGTTATTGTTATTTGGGCATTGCTATTTCATGAAATGAAACCTAATGCCACAGCCTGTTGAGAGAAACTACCCCGTATGGGCATAAACAGAGGGCCATCAGGTTGCTGAGCAGAAAGAAAGCACATAGAGGAGAAGTGCTGAGTGTTAAAGATTACAGAGACACGACGAGGAAATGAGAGGTCATACATTCATGAAATTATACTGCCGTGGCACATCTTTCACATGTAAAACTGAACATAACATGGCTGATAAAATGTATGTATGTAATATCCATTATATTCTAAAATCTCGTACTGCGTGGATGCGGTCATCATATGTGCTGGTATTCTCATGGATCAGCCCTGTGCAGTCTTGGGGGGCTCTAATAAAACATACATGTCGTGATTAATGGGAGTTACACTGCTGAGTGACACCTGTCATTTTAGAGATGGCACGTAAAACAGCTGCTGCCTGGGACTGTGAATCCCACTAATGTTAGGCAGAGAATTTGGGCAATGCTGCCCTAACATGAATTTCTCCCCTTAACCCCTACATTACCCCAAACATTAACCCCTACATTACCCTAACACACTACTACTCTAAACATTAACCCCTACATTATCCTAACACACTACATTACCCTAACACACTACTACCCTAAACATTAACCCCTATATTACCCTAACACACTACTCTAAACATTAACCCCTACATTACCCTAACACGCATCTCTAAACATAAACCCTTACGTTACCCTTACATACTAGTCTTGGGATTCTGGAGACATTTATAAATATTTAGGTTTATTATAATGTCTCCAGAGCCACTCAAAGGCATTATTTCACCTTAATTAACATGCAGTTCATTGTTACCATTATGTACGTATAAATTGTTATCTAATTCTGCAAAACAATTGTATTGTTTGATTATATCTATGAATAAAATTTCCCCCTTTTCTTATTTATTGTTCCCCCTTTTGTGGTTTACTGTAAAAAAATAAAATAAAAAAAAACTATATATATATATATATACACACACACACACACACACACACACACACACATACACACACACACATTTTTAATATAAACTATTTGAAAAGAAACACATATAGAGATGTGTATATATATATATATATATATACACACACATATACACACACACACACACACTATATATGAAAAGAAAAGACACATATTAAGTAATTTTACTCATTTTGCATACAGCTGCCAATATCATATCATTCCACTACCATTTGGAAACATGTTTGAAAGAAAGAGAAGTAATATTTTTAATTTTAACATATGGGAGTTTTCTTTCAAACCAGGTCCTACTACTGCCAGGAGCTTGCCCATACTCCAGCCTCACCCAATTGGCTCCTTCAGCTTTAGGGAGGGACTGGGGAGGATATGGAAAGAGACTTCTCATTGGCTGCTAACACTTCTGAAATAGGCGGGGCCGGTGGTCAAGGAGACGTATTGATTGAAAACCATTGGGGAAGTGCTGTAGCTTCCTTTTAAATTTAACCCTATATGAGCTGATCACACACAGACGGCTCCCCAGTCCCCCAATCACTATCAATCACAGCCAAGCTCAGAAAAGAAGTGAATGATTAATTGACCAAGTGTAGATGTTACCGCACTCTCTATTAGACTAGTTCATTTTATTTATTTATTACTGGCATTTATAAAGCAGCAACGTATTCCACAGCGCTGTACAATTAGGGTGGAACCTACAATATACACAGACCAATACAACATGTAAAGAGAGCTCTACCTGTGAGATCTAGCCAGTAAAGCACTTTTATACAAACTGCTTAGTTAGATAGTCTGTGAGCTTGCAATCTAAAGGAATTGGACTTTGTAACAATTTAAGACTTTGCAAATTATTACTTGTTACCTGCGACTCAAATACATTAACTCGAAGTCGAAAGAGAAATTATTCACTAAACAGAGAATTGCGAAATCTGGGCTAACCTAACAGAGATACATTTACAAAACCTGATTAAAATTAACTGAGAATTGGAAATAATCTCTCTAACCAGATCCTTAATGGTTAACACAGCACAGTGTCTTTATAAACAGGATGCATCCTGGTAACACCCTTGAAGGAAGGGAATATTTGGGTGCAAAAGGAAAGCTTAATTAAAATTCGCATTGCAAATATGACAAAATGATTTCAAAAGGATTTGGTGGAGTGCTATTATCTTGGAAATACCATTGTTTAACAACACTTCTGGGTGTTTGTACGTCTAGGTGAAAAGATGTGTACAAAGTCAATGACACCCTAAACAGAATAACTTCAGGAGGTAGGTTATCTTTAGGCCTGATTGTGTTCATGATTGGTTGGGATAAGAGGCATTATTTTTACAGAATGTAAAATACACTGTGCCCAGTATCCACAGTGCCAAAAAAATGCCCAGGAGGCTCTATATTCTATACATTTACCTATGATTGGCACATTAGCTGCAAAATTTAACTTAATATTAATATAAATTACAGAGTTTATAGTACCCGAGGCCTGGCACCTCTCAGAAGACAGCGGTGTGATCAGATAGTTAATCTTCCACAGTTTACTACCAAACATGATATGTGATTGTTATCTATAGCACCAGACTCTGTCCTGAAATATATCTATTGTCTACTCTAGACGCACTAAGAAATAGTTGCTATGGAAACCGCCTCCATAGCATCTGGTACCCAAGAGCATCCTCACTTTTCTCAGTGAGTCAATACGTGCCGAAAATGAGCCTCACAAGTAAAAGATGATGAATAAAAACAACTTGCAGTATTCTAGAATGATGCAAAGTACAATATTTCTCTTTCTGCAGACATAAGAAAAAAAACACGTGCCCAGATATTCTTTGTTTTAACACACTCACAAGCTTTCCTCGCAGTCATTGACATTTGTCTTTGATGACATGTAACCATCTCTGATCACTAGATAGTGTAGTGTGAGTTCACCCATTAACATTTATGGGTGATCTCTTGATAATCTAGAGAATGGTGCATACCTTTATAAAGTATCAACACGCAGCACAATGTAGTAGGAAGAGAAAGCACTGACTACAATAGATTGGAGACATAAAATATACATACAGGAGCAAAAAAAAAAGTTGTTGACAGTCATTCTCAAAAACTAAAAGAGCTTCACTAATCTAGTGCCCTTTGGCACACAACACATACCATAGACATCCAATGTTTAGTTTAAACCTGCATACACAGCAACATAAAACGCTTAGATATGTCAATGACCAAAATGACTCATTCCTTGTGGATGGGACTGATATTATTCATCATTTAATAGTATTGAGATTAGATAGACAGACAGTCAGTCAGATATACCCACTCCCTCTAGAATCTAAGCTTGTTTGAGTCAGGGCCCTTAACCCCTTCTGTTCCTGTGCGTCCAACTCGTCTGGTTACAAATACTTGTTTGTTAGTCCATCCATTGCCGCGGAATTTGTTGGTGGCGTTTTATAAATATTAATAATAATATTCACAGAAAATGTAGTGACTGCTGAGGGCAGAATTGATTGCCTGCTGTCCAATTCTGAATCATGTCTTTTTTTGCACTAGCCCACGTCTCCCAATCTGGCTCTCGAGTCAATCAGTCACAGACTGCATAGCTTTTCACGGGTGCCAATAAAGTCACCAAAAGAGGATAGATGATCCAATCAAGCAACCAATTCCTTAGAGCTTGTTGAATTTAATTGCAGGAGACCAACACATTTGAAATTACCGGAATGTAACAATAGTACAAAATGTCTGTTGCACGCAGTTAAAGCAGAATACAGTAGATAAAAATAAATAAAATAGGAAACCGGAACTGGCAGGTTAAACTAACATGTGCTATAATAATAATCGTATTTATTGTCTCATTGAATACACTTTATAGTTCCCTCTTCTGTTTTACGATCTATGGTAATACACACAACAGTCTATTAAAGTTACCCCTAGGATCATTTTTTTATATTTGTATTGTGCATTGCAGTGTATCTGTGTTCGTTATTATTAAACAGTGCGGCATGATCAATAAAGGCGGGAGAGGGGAGGGTTACAGATTTCCAGGTTATAATGTGGTTCCCCTAAATATTCTTCCTCTGACACCTCTAGTCCCCTGGGGTAGATATAATTACATATCCCCTCTGTTAAATGTCTGTGTTGAGAAGTAATCTGCCCTGTGATTGGTTTGTTTGATCCCGGATGAAGCTGCACACACAGGTGGGGGTGAGCTTGTGACAAGGGCTTCCAGTGTGACAAATTTGGGTCATATAACCAGAATCTCCTCTACTCCAGCTGTGCACTCTGAAAAGATATATGGCCTCACATAATATTGCACATTTGTCCTATAGAATAGAACACTGACTAATGCAGACATTGTGGACAGTACTTGTCAGGATACAATCTGGTCCTTATAAGTATTTGCCATTTGAACTGCCGTCAGTCACTAATTTGGTTAAGAATGATGTGAGTTTTAATCCTGAAATCAGTCCATGCAATGGATTTTCTTCCTGTTACTGCCTTGCTGCTTGGATCTGCACTTAACCCTGGCTTTTTTCAGGTTGATGGACAATGCAAAAATATATCACATGCCCTTGCACAGGCTGGACTTATGAAGGAGCTGGTCCTATTAAAAATAATATAGTCTTCGAAAGTGATGATCAAGTCCCAGAAAGCCATTCTACACCGAATCCATCACTCCTGACATTAACATATTGTGATCTGTCCTTTGATGTACAGTAGTACACTAATCACAGAGACATGGCACTATTTGGAAATGCAAGCACTTGCTATCGGGGAGCAGACTCTCGCAAGTCCCTCTTATGTCAGCAATGACGTACTGTACTAGCTCATTGGTATGAGTTGCTATGAGAGTGTGATTCCCAGCTCTCTGACTGACAGAGTTTCTAAATGATGCTACAAGCTCTTTTTTATTTTTACGCAAGCTCTATTTTTAAAGCCCTTCTTTGTTCACTTGCTACAATAAGAACTATTTTTTACACCATAACCACTACAGTTAGTGAGTGTGTGTGTCAGTGTGTGTGTGGCTGTCAGTGAGTGTATCTGTCAGTGTGTGTTTAAAATAAGTGAGTGTGTGTGTCATTGAGACTAGAGTGTGTTAGTGTCTCTCTCAGTGGGATGTGTGACAGTCAGTGAGTTTTATTACAAAAAGGGGTGGGGCATATAGATGGAGAGGTGGAGGCGTTGCCATAGAAACATGCATGTCTGGATTGGACATTTGCAAAGTGGAGGAGTTAGCAAGGTGACCACATCCACTTGTGGCGCCAAAACTCTTTCTGCACCCAGGCGTCTGGGACCCTAGGATTGGCCCTGCACATTGGCATGTTTAACCCTTTGCCCTATTTTCTCTAATTTCACCAGAAAAAGAAAGCAGGCTGTAGTCTCGAAATCTGCTTCTTAGTGGCCCTATTTGGGTCACTAATAAATGGCACAAATGTTATCATTTGTAATACAGCCAAGTATACTGATGTATTATTAATAGTACTACAAATTTTACTGGTCTACTAGTAAAAAACACAAACCATATACACTTACATTCCATTTAGTAAACAAATTAACCCCTTAAGGACCAAACTTCTGGAATAAAAGGGAATCATGACATGTCACACAATTAATTGCAATTTTGAGGCAGATAAAGACATTTTCCCCAAATCACTGTAAAGGGCATTGAAGAAAATACAATTATTCTATTAGTCAATAACATCATAACTCTGTGCCCTGAATATGCCAATGCTGACACACATTGGAATTAGGGTGTAGCCCTAAGAGCCACCAGTCCTGTCCCACCACTTCTCCTGCCAGCCTTGACTATTCCTTCTTGGAAAATCACTGGCTGTCTTACGGTGAGATTATAAAACTTCGTAAGGCATTGCCATTTGTTCTTTTACATAACATGCAATTTAAGAACACAATAGCCAGAAAGTGGGACAATGGATATTGTTGCAGTAGATTAGCAGAGACATGGCCTGGAAAAAAAATCATTACAAATTTAAAGCAGAAGCCAGGAATATTAATGTTATGTTTACTTATCCCCTTTATAACCCAACAAATGCATGCATGTATGTAAGGTCTGCATATAAAATTATATGTAGAAACCCCACACCACTATTTACACTGATCTGCCACAAAAATAAAACCAGTGACAGGTGAAGTGAATAACGTTGAATATATCATTATAATGGCACCTGTCAAGGGGTGGGATATACTAGGCAGCAAGTGAGCAGTCAGTTCTTGAATTTCATGTGTTGAAAACAGAAAAAAAGGCAAATGAAAATATCTGATTGACTTTGAAAAGGGTTGACTAATAATAGCTAAACGATTGGGTCAGAGCATCTCCAAAATGTCAAGTCTTGTGGGGGTGTTCCCAGTATGCAGTGGTTAGTACTTATCAAAAATGGAAGGACA